CTGAGAGAATTCACTGCCAAAAGACCTGCACAGAAGAAATGTTAAAGCATGTTTCAGCCTAAAGGAAAATGACACTAATGGAAAACTCAGGTCAACAGAAAGAAATGAACAACACTAGAGATGATAAATAATGGGATATTTATAAGACTATGTTTTTATTCTTCTCATTTTCCTTAAGAGACAAATTGTTCAGAACAGAGCTTGGTAAGCCCAGCCTACTGACTATTTTTGTAAATTAAGTTTTATTGGGACATAGCCACAGCCATTTGTTTACATGTCTGTGGATGCTTTCACTATAGAACTGAGCACTAAACAGTTGTGATGGAGACTGCAATTGGCTTGCCAAGCTGAATATATTTACTATCTGGCCCTTTATTGCTTTAGAACAAAATAAATAACACTGTAAAGTGAGCTTATAACAATAAAAACTAAAATGTAGGACAACAATAGCTCAAAGTACAGGGAGTGAACCTAAATGGAATTATACTGCCATAAGGTTATTAAATTTTTTGAAGTGCGAAATGGAATGTGTCAATTAGAAGTGTGAAGGGGGAGGGGCTGGCCCCGTGGCCGAGTGGTTAAGTCCGTGCGCTCCGCTGCAGGCGGCCCAGTGTTTCGTTGGTTCGAATCCTGGGCACGGACATGGCACTGCTCATCAAACCACGCTGAGGCAGCATCCCACATGCTACAACTAGAAGGACCCACAACGAAGAATATACAACTATGTACTAGGGGGCTTTGGGGAGAAAAAGGAAAAAATAAAAAAAAATCTTAAAAAAAAAAAAAAGAAGTGTGAAGGGGGAAAGGTAAGGTGTCACGTGTGAAATGAGTAGTGTAAAATGGCACAATATCAATTTAAAGTCAACCTTGATAAATTAAAGATGCCATATGGTTAGCCCTAGAGCAACCACCAAAACAATAATAAAATCAATAATAAATAATAAAAACAAGGGACATTATTCTACCCAGTACAGTCTGACCTTGTGGCACCAAAATTCACGACCACTCCATGTGCAAAACACACTTTTTCATTCCGATTGAGAATGAGACAAAGATGTTCACTCTCATACTAGAGGAGCTCACCAGTGCAATAAAACAAAAATAATAGGGTTAAAGATAAGAAAAGAAGTAATATTGTTATTTGCAGACAACATAATCATGTATAAAGAAAACCCTAGAAAGCCTACAGAAAACTACTCTTTATAAAATTAAAATGATACCAGTTACTATAGCAAAAAAACTCCTAAAATATTCAAGAATAAATCTAATAAAAAACGTGCAAGATTGCTACAACGCAAACTACAATTCATTGCTGAAAAAAAGAATATCCAAATAAAAGGAAAGTTATACCATGTTCATAGACTGAAAGACTGTACACTGTTTAACTGTTCTACCTAAATAGCTTTATTGCAATCACTATCAAAATTACAGAAGGCACTTTTAAAACAAGCTGATTCTCACATTTATATGGACAAGCAAAGGATACACAAAAGCCAAAACAATATTGAAATAGAAAGAAGTTGTTGCAACACTTGATTATCTGATTTCAAGGCTTACTTGAAAACTAGAAGAAGCAAGACAAGTGCAGTACTGATGTAAGGAGAGACACACAGGTAAATGGAAGAGATAAGTGTGTCCAAAACTAGATCCACACTAATATACGCAATTGATCTTTAGATCAAAATGACAAGTGAGTCCACCAGGTAAAATCTTTTTAATGTTGCTGGAACAACAACATATCCATATAGGAAAACAGAAACTGTGATCCCTATCTCACTCCATATACTTAAGTGACAGGAAAAGAATTATTTCCTCTGAGAAGCTGGTCTGATTTCTCCTTATGAACAATACCTATCATATAACTTCTAGTGTTTCTTATGCTATTATTTACATTATAAATCTAAAGATGACCCCTTAAGATTCCTGCTCCTTAAATGTTCAATCAAATATTAATTTAGGTACTGCTGTGAAGGGAGTTTGGAGATGTAATTAAGATTACTAGTCACCTGACTGTAAGAGAGGGAGATTAACCTGAATTATTTGGGTGGGCCCAATGTAATCACATAAGCAGTTAAAAGCACAAGAGGAAGGCAGAAAACTCAATCAGAGTGATGTGTCAGAAAGAGAAGTTGGAGAGATCTGAAGCATGAGGGGAAATCAATCAGTTGCTGGAGGGGTACCACCTGGAAAGCATCAGAAAGCATGTAGGCAGTCTCTAGGAATAAAGATCGACTCTCCCTGACATCCAGTGAAGAAACAGGGATCTCAGGCTCACAGTCGCAAGGAAAGGATTCTACCAACAACCTGCTTAAGCTTGGAAACAGATACTCCCAGAGCCTTCCACTAAGAGCCCCACTGGCCCACACCTTGACTTCAGTCTAATGAAAAGTAGAGCAGAGAAACCAGCCAACCCAGACTTCTGACTTAAAGAACTGTGAAATAATAAATTTGCCTTGTTTAAAACTGCTAAAAGCTGTTTGGGCACCAACAGAAAACCAACACATTACTGATACCGGAAACATTAGAAACAATTTGTAATTCAGCTTAATTACACCATACATTGCTACATATTTATTCACCAGCATTCCTTTATATGGACCCGATGGCCTACATTTTCCCATTCAAATGATTTTAAAGTTTATTTTCCCTCAAATTCTGAACTTAGGAAAGTGTACATTTCCATTTAATACTTATTTTTATAATCCTTTGCAGATTCACAAGGATGAAAGGCAAAACGGAGAAACAAACAGAAACCCCCAGGGCCTTGGTCATTTTCTTCTGTTCTTAGTTAACGGCCAGTGATTTTAGGGTCTGGTCTGGTCTGTTGTCCTTTCTGGTTCTGAACATGACAAGAGATCTCTGATCAAGGGTAAAGGAGACATTTCAGAGAGGGGCCTAGCTTTTAGAATTTGGGCGATTACTCAACTCTTCTCTTGTGATGGAGGATGAATTCTTAAAAGCATAAGGCTGGGGTTGGAAAAAGGAGCCCTCAGAGATCAGACTAATCAGCCTACACACCACCTAGGAATTTCTAGTCCTCACTGCCACCGCTAAACATAGATAGAGAAAGCCAGTGGGAATCTGGAGTAACTGCTCCCCTGGACAAGATCAGCACCAGGCAACTTGTGGTGGTGTGCCTGACTCTGGACTTCTCTGAGGTCTGGCAGGTTCTAGTATCTAGAGACCCAAGTTCTAGACTGGAAATCAAGACAAAGTGGGTAGAATCTGTAAATCTTTACAGCAGTGTGGTAGGTTCTAAAGTGTGTAAATCAGATTTCTTTCTGCCTAAATCATCTTCCCATTCACAACGATACTGTTTAAAAGTTGCTCACTTATTCCTCAAGGCACTACATGGCAGACTGTTCTGTAAGCTTTCTGTTCATGGTAACAGGGCTGGGAAGAGGCCAGGACTGGACACCCCATAGGACACACAGGACACACTCAAATTCCCGTCCCAGGCCCCCAACACAGATCCGTCTGGCCCCCTAGAGCAGGAGGAATGAGAGCAAACACATCCCATGCAACGAAGGAGTTCCCTGGAGCCATTTTCCATCTGGGCCACACAGCAGGACAGACCCACCAAGATCCAACCAGGTCCCAGCTGAGCCACTGGATGGGCTTGGAACTGAACCACACAAGGCCAATTCCTTCTCATGCTGCTTACAGAAGCCCCAGCAGCGTTTGGTTGGGGTTCTAGCAGGTACCCTCTTCGACCACCGCTTGCACTCAGGTAGAATTCACTCACGTGGAGAAAAACGGCTGAAGGTAAATGAACTGCGTATCCCAGAAATCCCCGCGGTAGCCACACAGCGAAGATGCACCAGCCCCTAACCAGGAAGATAATGTACCCGAAACTGTCCCTCCCAGAAACTTCAGTGGCCCAGCACAGGTGCCTGTTCCCAGAAAAAGCACAGAAGAACTAGCCACAGGCTGAACTATATTCCTCAAATTCAGTTGTGCTTGGTTCTCCTCATGGGACCTGGTCCTCACTGATAGCGATTGCTTCCTTCTGGCCCCTTCCTGGGAAGCTGAACATCCTGGGAATAGGGGCTCTAGCACCTAGAGTGGGCCTTATTTGCCCTTTTGTTCTTGTGGAGGGAACCCCACGGTAAATTATAAGTTTTATAATCCACCTGGCACAACCTTCCTGAGCATATAGAATATCTATAACAGCTGTTTTTAACATCATTTTCTGCCACTTCTCTAACCTGTGCCACTTCTGGGTCTCTATCGATTTTCTTCACGTTTATAGGTCCTATTTTCCTGCTTCTTTGCATACCTGGTAGGTTTTGATTAGATGCCAGATGTGAATTTTACATTACTGGCTGATGGATTGCTTTCTAATCCTTTACTATTGGGCTTTGTTATAGGAAACAGTTAAATTACTTGGAAACAGTTTGGTCCTTTAGGGGCTTGCATTTATACTTTGTTAGAAGGGTTCAGAGCAGCCTTTAGTCTAGATCCAAAGAGCCACCCACTGAGGCAAGACTCTTCTGAACTTCCACTGTGATTCTCCAAATGTTAGGAGGCATTCCCATTCCAGCCGGTGGAAATAAATTATTCCCAACCTTGGGCAACCTCCAAGGATGGTTCTGCCTGTTCATTTCCAGTGATTCTTTCTGCAGCCTAGGGAGCTTCCTCACATATATGTGCTGATGACAACTTAAAAACTTGTGGGGGAACTCTCTAGAACTCTCTAACTCTCTCTGGGTGCAGATCTCGCCTCTCCTGTAATCTGCCCCACGAATCTGAGCCACCTTGAATTCTCCAAACTCTAAACTCTGTCTCCATTCAGGCAGACTGCTGGGATCTCTTTAGGTTCCTCCTCCCTACACTGCAGAACGGAAACTCCCTCCAAGCAGTAAGCTGGGGCAATCGTAAGGCTCACTTCATTTGTTGCCTTTCTCCCAGAGATAGCTGTCCTGAGCTCCCATCACCCAATATCTTGAAAAGTCCATTCACGTATTCCATTCTCTTTAGTTATTTAAGATGGGAGGGTATACAAATCAAACATTTATTGTTAAGGAAAAGGAGGTTATTGGGATTGGATGTGAAAAACACGGGTCAGTATTTAGGTGCCTCATGGTATATGCAGATATGTTAATTTACACAATTTTAGAATAGATACAAAGATGTTTGGCAGCATTTCCCGCAGCATAAATCTCATGTTCCTTTAGGACATTTAAGAGTTATTTTCCAGTGCTGATAATTTGATTTATACATTTCAAGAGCATTCCATGGTATTCATATCTAACAATCACAGCATAAGATTCAGACTATAGAAAAAAATGTTAGTTAGATCATAATTACCATGAATACTTCTCTGGGAACAAACTTTTTCAAATTTATTTAATGGCGAGGTAGGAACTTATTGCAGTGTAAATTCTCTGAAATCTAATGTTTTTTGGTAGGCAGAATAATGGCCTCCTAAAGATGTCCATGTCCTGTTCCCAGAACCTGTAAATATGTTACATTACATGGTAAAGGCGAATTAAGGTAAGAAGATGGAATTTAGTATTTCAGGACCATATAAGTTGTTTCTAGAGTTTTACAGGTTCACAGCGAGGAAATGTGCCTCTGGAATTGTCCACAGGATGGATAGTACCCAGAGCCTCATCAATACTCGATTTAGACGATGAGATTTGGCACTTTAGAGCTGATAAATTTTAGGTGAGATTTTGGACTTTGAGTTAGTGCTGTGATGGGTTGAAACGTTTGGAGATGTTAGGATAGGGTAAATGCATATTGTATGCGGGATGGACATGAATCATTGGGTACCAAAGCGTGGTCTGTAGTAGGCAGAATAATGGCCTCCCAAAGATGTCCACATCCTAATCTCCAGGACCTGTGAATATGTTAGATTATAAGGCAAAGGGGACTCAAAGTAGCAGAGTTAAAGATGCTAATTAGCTGACTTTAAGTGGGGAGATTATCGTGGATTATCTGGCTGAGCCCAATAGAATAACAAGGGTCCTTAAACACGGACAAGGGAGGCAGAAGAATCAGTGTTACAGTGATGAAAGAGTTGACCAGCCATTGCTGGCTTTGAGGCTGGAAGGGGGTCATGAGCCACAGAATTTGGGCAGCTTCTAGAAGCTGGAAAAGCAAAGAAACAGATTCTCCCCTAGAGCCTCCAAAATGAAATGCGGCCCTGCCCACACCTTGCTTTTAGCCCAGGAAGATGCATTTTGACTTCAGGCCTCCAGCACTGTAAGATAATAAATTGGTGGTGTTTTGAGACCCAAAATTTGTGGCAATTTGTTAGAGCAGCCATAAGAAACTAATACAGCTGTACAAATTCAATGTATTTGCATGCTTTCATTACATAATGCAATTCCTGGTGTCCAGAAGGTTTCATTTATTAAAGAAGTTTTTCCAAGATTCCCAAGGTATAAAATTGTGACTCATGAGTTAGTTTGGTGTTAGAATTTCCATCTTTTATTGCTTTCAGGGGTTTCTCTTCTCTATGAGTTCTTCTACATTTTACTAAAAATGTTTTCCACATTCAGTGTCTCTAGAGTTGTCTCTCTTTGCTTCTCTGGCATGTGATGCTGTACAATTTATCATTGAAAACCATCACATTCTTTCCAAAGGTTTTAGTCCTGTGGGAATTCTTTGATACCAACTGTGATATCACCTCCGGGAAAAGGCTTCCCCACAGTAGCTGCATTTCTGCGCAATATGCTTTCACCAATATTTAATAAGTCTAACTTCTCACGGAAGTGTTCTCCACAACCACTGCATCCACAGCATTTCTGTCCTAAGTGAGCTCTGACATTTAACTCGTGGAGGATTCTTGCTAAAGGCTTTTCCACATTTCTGGTTTCAGAGGATTTTTTTTCCTACACAATATCCGTAACATATAAGACATAATTTATTACTGAAGGTGTTGTCACATTCACTGCATTTGCAAGGCTTATTCCCTGTGCAAATTCCTGATTATCTACTGAGGGCTGACTTCTTGGAAATGGCTGTTCCACAATCACTACATTTCTACCCCCTAGGAGCTCACTGAGGTTTAATAAGGTCTGAGTCCCTGAAGAAGACATTTCTACAGGCACTGTGTTCATAGCATTTTGCTCCTGTGCGAGTTCATTCATGTATAAAGATCTACGACTGCCTGAACTAGCTTTCTCCATCTTCAGTGGATTTATAGCTTTCTCTCTTGTATGAGTTTTCTTATGTTTAATGAGAACTGACATGTGGGCAAAGGCTTTGCCACATTCACTGCATGCATATGGTCTCTCTCCTGTATGAGTTCGCTGATGCTGAATGAGCTTTGACTTGCTTCTGAAAGCTTTTTCACACTCACCGCATTCATAAGGTTTCTCTCCCGTATGAATTCTCTGATGCTTGGTCAGGTCTGACTTAAAAAAGAAGGTTCTTCCACATTCACTGCATTCGTAAGGCTTCTCTCCTGTGTGAAGTCTCTGATGTGCAATGAGGTACGCCTTCTGGGAAAAGGCTTTCCCACACACACTGCATCCGTAAAGTTTCTCTCCAGTATGAGATCGCTGATGTCTGTTGAGCCGGCACTTCCGGCTGAAGGCTTTCCCACATTCACTGCATCCATAGGGTTTCTCTCCTGTGTGAGTTCTCTGATGTACCATAAGCTGTGACTTTCTGGAAAAGGCTTTTCCACATTCATTACACTCGTGGGGTTTCTCTCCTGTATGAGTCCTCTGATGTTCGGTGAGCTGAATCTTCCTCATGAATGTTTTCCCACATTCGTCACATCCATGGGGTTTCTCTCCTCTTTCGGTTCTCTGATGTCTAACAAGCTGTGCCTTCCTGGAGAAGGCCTTCCCACACTCACTGCATTCATGTGGTTTCTCTCCTGGATAAGTTTTCTGATGGTCACTGAGCTGTGATTTAGTGCTACTGGGTTTAACACATCCATGGTATTTAATTCCAGTGAGAGTTTTATCACGCTGGATGTAGAGAGACGATTTCCCATATCCATTAAATTCGTCAGAATCCTTTCCTGCATATCTTCTATGCTGGATTACAAAACCTAAATGTGATTTCAAACTTTTACAATGTGAGCCAAACTTATTGTGCCTTTGTGTTAAAGGAACCAGACTTTTGCATACATCAAAATTATTTGCAAGTGCATAACTCTGCTGACATCTTTCCAAAGTTTTAATCTCGTTTTGGTTTTCTGGGTGCCACTGCATATGGTCAATCTCCCATATTTCTTCTAGGAAAAAGAACAATGAAAACATCCATGATAATTTTAGGAGGAAAAAAGGTAAAAAAAAATGCCATGGTTTGAGCTAGCTCTTATAAGATCCCAGTCTAAAAGAAATGTACCCTATGGAAATGTATCCTATGCCCTGTGAAAAAAGAGAATATTATAAAACAGTAAAAGAAAAGACAGCTACTTTAGAAATAATGATGTATAATCTACAATGAATAAATATAACTTGGACTTAATTCCAAATAGGACCTTGCAAAATTGACAGAAGAGCAGAAACAGAACCACACTGGGATTGGAATAGAACAAAGAAGATGGAGAGGATGGATCCATTCATCCAATAAACATTGAATGGGCTGGTGTTTGTGAATAAATCAAAATATCAGAATGTCAGAATTAGAATATACTACTCATAAAGTGACTAATATATTCTGTCTCCAAGGAGCTGTCATTCTAGTAACAAGAGAGAAAGAGAGAGTGCGAAAGACTGAGAATCAACAGGTAAGCAAAGAAGTAAGAAAATTACAGGATGCAAAAAATGGTGTATGACATGGTGGCAGAGTAGTGGTAGGCCAATCTTAGGTAAGGTAGTCATCTCCAAAAGAAAAGCTGAGCTGGCATCATAGGATAAGAATGAGCAATGTTATGCAAATAACTAGATGAAGAACATTCCAAGAAGAGGGAATGGCCAGTGCAAAAACCTAGAGGCAGAAAAGACTTAGGCATGATCAAGAAATATAAGAGAGTGGTGTATCTGGACCATCCTAAGACTGAGTGAAATAGAAATAGGTAAGTTTGGAAAGGCAGGTAGAATTGAAAACATATAGATCATGTAGAAAGACTTTGTTAGAAATTTGGATTTTATGCTAAGAGCAATGGCAATAAGCCACCAAGCACTTTTTTTCAAAATTTTTATTGAGATTATAATAGTTTACAACCTTGTGAAATTTCAGTTGTACATTATTGTTTGTCAGTTGTGTTGCAGGTGCACCCCTTCACCCTTTGTGCTCACCACCCAGCCCCCTTTCCCCTGGAAGCCACTGATCTGTTCTCTTTGTCCACGTGTTTAACTCCCACATGTGAGTGGAGTTATATAGAGATTGTCTTTCTCTATCTAAGCCACTGAGCATTTTTTGGCAGGAATACACCACTTTCTGAATTGATATTTCTAAAAGTTCACATGACTGTTGTATGGAGAATGAACTGGAGAGATGAAATTGTGAGAGAATACACAGGAGGCTATTCTCAGAGTTCAGGCAAGACCTAACAGAAGCCTCAGCATGAATGAGTACCATGGAGATGGAGAAATGTACAACAACAAAGGACACAGTATAGAGGTGGAAAAGACAAGACCCACTGTCAGAACTAATGTTGGAGGTAGAAAAGGAAAGAATCAAGGACAGCTCCTCGATATGTGGTTTAAGCAACTATGTAGGTGCTGTGTCATTTAATAAGATAAGGAAGGTCTGGGAGACAGGTTTGACATTTGGGGGGAATCAAATGCTCCATTTTGAGACACACATCATGTCTGAGAAGACTAATTCAAGAGAGAATATGAAGTACTCAGTTAGATCTATGAGGTGGAGAGAAGTCTAGACTTAAGATAACAATTTTAAGTCATGAGTATATAATCGTTACTTAAATATTTTGACTGCCTGGGACTAGGTAAGATAATTTAGGAAGAAGAGATAGAGAAAGAGGAAGGCCCAAGACAATAGCTTCATGCACTCGAAGTTTCAGAACTTTGGGAGAGGGATATGCAGAGAATATGATGAGCCCATCCACAGATAAACCATATCTATGCAGATCAAACAAATAAGCACCATGGGTTTGAGTAACAAATGGTTGGAATTGGGAAATCAGAATGTAGGATCCACAGCATCTCATTCCAAGATCACTGGTAAAATATTCAATAATCACCTTGTTACTAAATCTTTTCCTTCTCATTCCAACTGCATACCAAAATTAAACTTTCCCACATCACTAATCACCTACTTAGACTAATACTGTATATAGTCAATACTCCAACTTTCTATGTAGGTATGATACAACCTCACCTGGTCCAATATATCCAGACAGGTATACGTCCATATGGAATTTAAAAATAGGTCCCTGGGCCATCTGCCCATATCCCAGAGAAGAGTTACAGTTGTACTCGTAGGTGGAAATATCACTTTCTCCAATCAGTTTAATCATATGGTAACTGTGTATAGCACTGTTCAATAAAACTTTCTGTAATGATGGAAATGTTCTATATCTGTGTTTTCCAATATGGCAGCCAACAGCCATGTATGGCTATTGGGCACTTGAATGTAGCTAGAGTGACTGCAGAACTGAATTTGTAATTTTACTTAATGTTGATTAACTTCAAATTTAAGTAGCCACAAATGGCCAGTGGCCAGCACACTGGACAGCACAGGTATAGACCATCATACTCTATATTTGCCATTATAGTCTCCTTGATACAGTCATCTCCAAATTTACTTCTTTCAACTAATGCCACAATCTTCCTTAATCTCTGTTCCTACATCATCTCTGGAACCCATCAATTAAGACATTCTGAAGAATCATTCTCCATTCAGGAATAAAACATTCATCTGCCTTATCTTCCATTTATCCTAGACCTCCAAGCTATACCTTCCTATTGTTACAATGCTACTATCCAGCTATCAAGCAAGACTCTCTAGAACTAGCAAAAAAAGGTAAAACAAAACCAAATTCACACTTTCTAAGCCAATAATAAACATAAAATCCAGAATAATCAGCCATTTCCTTTCACATAATCTCCTACAGGCCAATCTGCTCACACTGACCCACATCGCCTTCCTCATTTCCATCTGCAAAGTCTTCTTTTTATATTGTTACTGATGCACAAGGCCTTTCATCATCATTTTTATTCAAAATCCAGATACCTTTAATGCAGAAATTATTTTATCATGCTTCCCCAAAAAAGCACTAATTTGTCTCTGTAACACTATCAAAGCTCAATTTTCTATAATTTTGGAAAACAGTCCCTGTCTGGCCTTCATAACCAAATGCTAAAAATTTTAGACTTTTATGCACTTATGCCAACCCTTTCCAACTGGGACTTCTAAACTTGGAAGGTATTTCTGTCCTCCATTACATCGGACTCTCTCTCAGAGCATATTAGAGTGCTGGTTCTTCAACTACAGGGATCAAAGCAGAAGTGCCTGGCAAGCCTTTCAAACTTCACATACTCAGGTCACTCCCTGGATCTAGTAAATCAGAAACCGAATTTCAAGAGACAAAGCCTGCAGCTTGAACAAGCTCCCACATGGTTTACACACATCTCTGATTAAAAAACAAAATTAAGGGCCAGCCTTGGTGGCCGAGTGGTTAAATTTGGCGTGCTCTGCTTTGGTGACTTGGGTCTGGTTCCTGGGTGCAGACCTAGACCACTTCTCTGTCAGTGGCCATGCTATGGTGGCGACATACATACGAAATAGAAGAAGGCTGGCAACAGATGTTAGCTCAGGGTAAATCTTCCTCAGCAAAAGAAAAAGAAACGAAAACAAAATTAAAACCAAAATGAAACAAAACTAAACCTGCTTTTAAGAAAGATATAAGGAGTGGACTCAAGTGACGGTGTCAGTGAGGGATTATGTAGTCTACACTAAGTAAGGAAGAATCAGATATAGAAGCCTCACACCAATCAATAAAACAATACCAAAAAAATAGATGATCATCATCAGGGAAATGCAAATCAAAACTACACTAACATATCACCTTACACCCGTTAGAATGACAAAAATATCTAAAACTAATAGCAACAAATGTTGGAGAGGTTGCGGAGAAAAAGGAACCCTCATACACTGCTGGTAGGAATGCAAACTGGTGCAGCCACTATGGAAAACAGTATGGAGATTCCTCAAAAAGTTAAAAATAGAACTACCATACGATCCAGCCATCCCAATACTGGGTATTTATCCAAAGAGCTTGAAGTCAGCAATCCCAAAAGTCCTATGCACCCCAATGTTTATTGCAGCACTGTTTACAATAGCCAAGACGTGGAAGCAACCTAAGTGTCCAGCAACAGACGAATGGATAAAGAAGATGTGGTACATATATACAATGGAATACTACTCAGCTGCAAAACAGAACAAAATCATTCCATTTGCAATAACATGGATGGACCTTGAGAGAATTATGTTAAGTAAAATAAGTCAGCGAGAGAAGGACAATCTGTGTATGACTCCATTCATATGAGGAATTTAAAATTATGGAATAAGAACAGTTTTAGTGGATACCAGGGGAAAGGTGGGGTGGGGGGTGGGCACAAAGGGTGAAGTGGTGCACCTACAACATGACTGACAAACATTAACGTACAACTGAAATTTCACAAGATTGTAACCTATCAATAACTCAATAAAAAAAAAATAGATGATCATGACTGAGTTAGTGTGGTGTAGACAGGAAGTCAGGAAAAAGGGTGTTCCAAGTGTGCACTCGAACTTCATGGAAAGAAAAAGAGCTCAGAGTGAAAGAACGCAGTATCGGGATGTAAAAATGCATCACAGTCAAATGCAGAGATGCCAGTCCTCAAATTATCTGACATTATCTCTGACATTCAACAAAACCTATCACTTTCTCCTCCTGGGAATACGTACGTCACTTGTTTCTGGGACATCTTCTGACTCTCCTCCTCTCATAGCTCTGATATTTCTCATTCTATTTGGCTGGGTCTTTTCAATGTCTAAATATATGTAGATCTCTTGTTTTTCCAACCAACTCTCACTCTTCATGTTTTCTCATCAAGTTCCACTGCTTTCCCTACCCACAGAGGAATGCAGCCTAATATCAAAAGGGACTAAGAAAAACACTAAAGAGGTTGGCCAGTGGCATAGTGGTTAAGTTCACGCACTCTGCTTAGGTGGCCTGGGGTTCGCAGGTTCAGATCCCAGACGCAAACCTAACAGCACTTACCAAGCCACACTGTGGTGGCATCCCACATAAAACAGAGGCAGATTGGCACAGATGTTAGCTCAGGGACAATCTTCCTCCAGCAAAAAGAGAAAGATTGGCAACAGAAGTTAGCTCAGGGACAACCTTCCTCACAAAAAAAACAAAAAAAAAAACAAAAAAAAAGGACGAAGAGAAACAGTGAAACCAGCTAAAGTATGTAGCAATTGGGGCAGTGCGAGTTGAAATTATTACAGCCTACTTTGAGGTAGGAATTGAGAGTATGGAATTTCCAAATGGCCTTTTCAAACCAATGACAGTTAATAGGAACAGCAGAGACCTTCAGAAATAATACAGCAGACCAAATAGGGAAGACTCAAGGCAACTCAAAGGTGGCCAGGTGCCACAGCACAGAGCAGGACAGTGGAACATAAATAAAATGCACAGGAGGAAAAGGATCCATCAGGAGGAAAAATAGTCTCAGGTTCTGACACTGAGGCTGAAGGAGAAAGGATTTCACAGGATAATTATCCTGGGTCCAGGCAAAATACAGAATTAAAAGGCAGATTAGACCATAGCTAGGTAAATGTCAACTCAGGAGTATCTGTCAGAGTACAGAGCTTAAATCTTCGGTATATATGATACACTCTAGGGTGGTGAAGACATCACTGAGGGAAAGGAGGAACTGGCTTCACATATAGGAAGTAGGACATCATGGACAGCTGCCTTGGTGACTTGCAACATGCAGGGGCTTGGAGTACAGATTAGGTCAATTTGGGGCTCTCGACAGAGAACAGAGAGCTTAGGCCTTGAGAATGAATTAAAATTTTAATATGAGAATCAAGCAGAAGATTTAAAAAGACAGAACCTGGCAGCTGGGAAAGCAGTGGGTGAAGAAGTAGAGAGAGGTGCCCTGAGAGACAAGGTGTGTGTGGTTTTCAGATGAACCAAGGTGAGGCGGATTGTCAGGGAGGGCCATCAGCCCTTTTAAAAGGGGCAGAGACGTTGGAGAAGTAGACAGCAGTGCTAAGTGCAAAGCGATCTGTATGGGTAGTGAGAGGAATTTTATCGCAAGTAAGGTGGAGAAGAGGAAGTGAGACTGCTGCAGACAAAGAAAAGGAGAAGACAGGTGCATACCAGGAAGACTAGAACCAGGTTAAGAGATCAAGGTCCTAGGTGAGACTGTCATCAGATCTAGAAACCTAAAAAAAGGAAGACATCATCCTTAAACAGCAGGGAAAGAAGAACAACCGTGATAAACAACAGAGACGCAGAGAGGTGTTAGGTCAGGGTTGCCAAGTAGTGTAAGAAAAGCTCTCCGAACATTTCAACAGCGTCACCCCTTCACTGACCCGCCGGAATTGTAGAGTCATCTCTCCCCATTTTCTTGGTTTTCACTCACTCACCTGGACAGGTTTGACTATGGGCTGCTCCCTCTGCTATCCATGGTGGTTCTCCTTGCTCCAAACGGAAGAGAGAATCTGGCTTCATAGCTTGATATCCTGTAAACAGGAAGTCATTGAACACTTAGCACCAAGTATTTAAGATTGGGGGATCTATGAAAACTGGAAAAAGTTATATTTCAGGGACCACATCATTTGTGCTTCAGTAAAGTAAAAGCTTTTTACTGGGGAAGGGAGAGCATACACTCTACGATCAAAGAGGAGAATAAAAGTCTACCACCTACAATGCTTTAGCCCAAACCATGAAATACTTCAGGAATCCTACAGGTTGCACTGAATGAGAAAGAAAAGGCAGCTGATGGTGATGCTGTCCTTACCTACTGACAGTAGGTTGTTGTAGTTCTCCAACATCACGTCCCTGTACAGGTCCTTCTGAGATGGATCCAGTAACTGCCACTCCTCCCAGGTGAAGCCCACAGCCACATCCTCGAATGATAACGCTCCCTGTAATAACAAATTCCAGTGCAATCTGAGGTGGAATAGATGATGTGGAAAGAGGGGCGGTAACATGTTCAGCTCATATTCCCCATGATAAACGATGCACACTGTGACCATTTCACATACCATAGGACCATGTGTCTCAGTGCACTTGGGTTGCTATAACAAGATACCACAGACAAAGCAGCTAATATAAACAAAAATTTATTTCTCATAGTTGCAGAGGCTGGGAAGTCCAAGATCAAGGTGACAGCATGGCCACACTCTGGTCACAGCCACTTTCTGGCTCATACAAGTTTCATAGTGCCTTCTCACTGTGTCCTCACCTGGTGGAAGGGTGAGGGATCTCTGTGGATTCTCTTTTATAAGAGTACTGGTCCCATTCATGAAAGCCTCACCGTCACGACCCACATACCTCCCAAACGCCGCACACCTCCTAAAACCATCATCTTTGGGGGTTAAGATTTCAACATATGAATTTTGGGGGCATGCAAACATTCAGATCACAGCACTGCAGAATTCTACTAATTAATTTTCCCAGCTTAAAAAAGTACTAAAATAATATTTGCATAGACATCAAACAATGTGCAGTAAGAATGTTCATTATTTCTTTGTTTACAATAGTGAAAACCTATCAATAATCTAAATGTCCATAGAAAACAGACAGGGTTAGATGTGATAAAATACCTCGTAAACATTTAAATCAATCAGGAAGATGAAAAAATACTGATAGCAATGATCTTCAAGGCATTCTCTTAAGTGAAAAAAAACAAGTTCCCAAAGAGTGTATATAATATGATCCCAAACATCCTAACATACACAATTACACATGTATAAGTAACATATGTATGGATATAGAAATGTACATAAATATAGACATATTCCACCACACGTCAACTATAGAAAGGGACTGGATGGAGACCCACATTATTAACATTTGTTATCCTTCGGGTGGGGATTGGGCAGGAAAAAGGTGTGAGGGGATATTCTCTTTTGGTGCAAATACTTCTGTTTGCTTGAATCTCTTGCATGCAAATGTAGCCAGGTATCATTTGCATAATTAAAAATATGAAGACCAAAACAAGAATAATTGGCTCTGACTTCATTTTTTGAACCTGAGGTTAAGAAGGTATAAAGGGAGCATTGTCCACGTCTGTAATCCAAGCTGTTCTCCAAGAATGGAACCTGCAGCTGTCTCTTGCCAAATCAGTAACACAAATCTGGTTGAGAGAACTCTCCTTCCTGGAGGACCACTCAAAGATCACACAACCCACTTATTCTATGGACAATCCAGACTTCACTCCTGGGTAAAGTCGGACCACCCGAAGGCTCTGTTGTTGAGGTGTGCTGCTTCTGAAGAATTTTGTCCACTGGAGTTCTGCTCTGGCATCACCTCCTTAGCCTACTCGGAGGAACACAAGAAGAAAGAGCCAAAGGAAACACCATATGCCTTTATGACACGACTGTTACTGAGGACACTGTCTACCAAAAAAATCTCTCTGAAGAGCTAAGGAAAGAAATTTCTTAAGACCGAAGAACAATGAAATGTTTACTTCCTCTGAAGAACTGGTTTGCCTTCTCCTCACACACACTGCAAATCATGTAACTTTTCACATTTTTCTTGTTATTACGGCTGCCGAGAAAAGCAGACACAAGTTCAAAGCTAAGGCAACCCACAGGGTCTTACACAGTCACTTACCTAAGTTCCAACGTTAAGAATTTTGTACAAACCCTATGACCTACACATCTTGCTTCCTAATTTGCCCTGATTTTAAGATTATAGCCTAAACTTATTTTCTGACAGGTCCTGATTTTTATCAACATATGCTGTCTCATTTCATCAGACTTTTAGAAGCTTCCACATGTCCATTGGGAAATCAAGGATAAAACAGGTAAAACAAACCTCACCTGGGCCTTGGTCATTCCTCCTGTTCTTAAGAAAGGACCAACAACTCTAGGGCGTGCTCTGTCTTCTGTCTACTCTGGGCCTGCCTGGAAATTGTGGTTGAATATCTCAGGTCAGGCTGCTGCCAGAAATGACGATCTCCCAAGCCTGGAACCTTCTTCTTCTATTACTGAAAACGTCTCATTCCTGTAGATTAGAACCTGTGGATTGAGGAGCAAATTCAATTACAAGAGGACATGTGCCTGGGGCCTCAGCTCTCTCTTACCATGTGGACTCATTCTAACAGAAGGCCCCAATATTTCATCCATCTCTTTAACACCCTGGAAGTTTTTACATCCTGGGGCCGTGCTCCACAGGAAGATATGGAATGGTCAAGAGGAATGCCCTTTTCTTCCCAAAGGTGGAATGTAGTGGATGTGGAAGAGGAGATGGGAAACAAAAACCAGTTCATGGTCCTGTCCACCACCAAGTTCTCACACAGATCAAGTTTAGGGAAGATAACATATAGACGTAGTGGTTCTGGAAAGTGACTTAAACCTGTGTCCACATACTCCTAAATTTTTTGTTTATTGCACCGAGGCAATTATCCCAGTTTGAAGACTAATGTACTTAACAAATCATAAGCAGTGTCTTATGTATTCCTTAACATTACTCTGTAATGTACTCATTATTATCACCATTTTTTTTCTTTTGGAGGAAGATTAGCCCTGAGCTAACATCTACCGTGCAACCTTCTTCCTTTTGCTGAGGAAGACTGGAACTGAGCTAATATCCATGCTCATCTTCCCCTACTTTATATTTGGGATGCCTGACACAGCATGGCTTGACAAGCAGTGCATAGGTCTGCACCCAGGATCTGAACTGGTGAACCCCAGGCTGCCAAAGCAGAATGTGCGAACTTAACCACTGCACCACCGGGCCAGCCCCTATTATCTCCATTTTTAACACAAGTAAGCTAAGGTTTGGTCAGGCGAAGTGTGTTGCCCAGGCTAACAACCTTCCTAAGTAGCAATGTGGGAATTAGAATCCATATATGCCTTTCTCCATTATAATATTTCTCTCTTCCAACAGCCTCACAATACAAATTTGTTCTCTTTCTCATGCACTTTAAAAACTTCACTTCCTGGTGCATCATCCTGTGAGGTGGCCATATAGTCACATTTGCCAAAACAGGGCCCTTGGAATTGGCTCTTGTAATATTCACTGTGCACACCCAGCCAGCTCCTTCCACACAAGCAGGAATGCACAGGCAGCCCCACCCTTGCCTCAGAAGCAGCAGATCAGAAATCAGTCTCCCCAAGAGCCAAGCTCTGGAGCCATGCTAGAAACTCACTCTAAGGAGACCAACAGCATGAGGTCAACTTGAATTTAGTTTTCACTTCTTGAGGCAGCAAATTATTATTCTCAGCCTCTTTCTCTAGCTCTCCTGAATCTTCCACACCTAGAGACCTCATTTCTGACTCATTCTCTGACCGACTGGTAAACATAGCAGTGAACAAGCATACCACCACCATCTCTAATTCTGACACTGCTTTGTCCCAGTCTTGGCCCATGAGTCTAGACTCCTTGCAGGGTCAGCCCAAAAAGGATGGCACACAACTCATATGTAGAGCTCCTTACGGGCAGGAGGGAGGTAGGAAAAGGTGTTTATACAGGAATGGTTAGAACTGAGATCTCTAGGGTTGGAGGCTCAAGGACCCAACCATTCCCTAGAAGCTCCTTGGCAGACTTTCCCTCACACCTAACAGATCAGAGCTGCACCAAATGCTCATGCCTGGAATACAGCAATGAAACCGAGAATGGCAATGGAACCCCCCTGAGTTGTAAGACTAATCTGCGTTTCCTACTGAACTGAAGTTAAGGTCAAGTTGCTAGATGGATGGCTACCTAAATAAAATAGGGATTTTCTTAAAAAGGAGGGCATGGACGTCAGGTTGGCAGCCTAAGTAGCTAATAAAATTAATTAATAGGTTAGAGGAGAAAAGCCTAAATTGATATTAAAAAACAGTTCATAAAACTCAGTATTGCTTTTGTTACAAACCCATAATAGCCTAGCAATGGAGCGGCTACTTCCTTAGACTTGTGGTATAATAGGAAATAGATATTTGGTCTTTGTCCCAGGTTCCTGGACACGGCTCCTAAAACCCTTGGCATCTCCAGAGTGATGAGTATCTTTTAGATGCTAATGAGGTTATTGGTGGCTGGGGACCCCTAGATAGCTTCAGGATGGGGGCTGGTCCCCAGAAAGACCAAGGCATGATTAGAGGGCTCGAACTTTCAGCCCCAACCTTGGGCTTATGGGGAGGACAGAGGGGCTGGAGATAGAGTTTAATCACCAGTGGACAATGATTTAATCAATCATGCCTACGTAATGGACCCTCCATAAAAACTCCTAACCGTGGGGTTTGGAGAGCTTCTGAGTTGGTGAACACTTTGAGGTACTGGGCAGGTGGTACACCTCAACTCCACGGAGACAGAAGCTCCTGTGCTCAGGACCCTTCTAGATCTTGCCCTATGCAGCCCTTCATCTGGCTGTTCATTTGTATCCTTTAAATAAACTGGTGACAGTAAGTAAAGCATCTTCCTGAGTCCTATGAGCCATTCTAGCAAGTTACCGAACCTGAGAAGGGAGGCAGGGAAACCTCTGATTTACAGCCAACTGGTCAGAAGTACAGGTGGCAACCTGGGACTTGCAAGTGGCATCTGAAGTGGGAGCAGTCCTGTGCGACTGAGCTCTTATCCTATGGGGTCTCTGCAGGCTCCTGGTAGTTAGCGTCAGAACTGAGCTGAATTGTAGGACACCCAATTGCTGTCCAGGGAGTTGGAGAATTTGTTGGCATGGGGTAAAACTCCCATATATTTGGTGTCAGGAGAGTTAAAAAAAAAAAAGAAAGAAAAAGCTCACTGATTAACAATAACAAAACTAAACCCTATACATCTCGGTAGAAGGATATATAAAGTATAATACAATTTTTATAAACTTTTAAAACGTACATAAAATATTATATACTGTTTGTAGATACACACATACTTAAAAGTCCAAAAAGGATTATAAGGTAAAATTTCAACTTAGTGATTACATATGGGGGAGGAGGAAGGAACGGGGTAGAGAAGTGGCGCTGACACTTGAGTTGTGTATGTAACACTTTCTTTCCAAAAGAAAAGAAAAAAAGGGAAAAAATCTAAAGCAAAGCCAAAATCAAACACCGTATATGCTCAATTGAGAACCAGTGACACTCTGTAAGCATTCCCACACAGAATGGGAAGGGTGCAAGAATTACCATTCTCATTTGTCACTGGTTGGTCCATGCTTCCAAATGCAATTAGAGAAAGGAATCAAACAGCAATTACCAATCTCAGAGAAAAGGAGGCAAACTATCGTCTGCACAATATTACTGTAGATGCATAAAACCCAAGTAACAGAAATGGACAATAGTAAAAAATAAGTTTAGTCAGTGCTTGAAAATGACATGAAAACGACACATGAAATATGATAACATTCCTTTACTGTCAGTATTATATGGTAGAACATTACTGGGTATATTCTCAATTATGTACTGAATATTTTCAAAATAGGCATCGCTTCTGACTCAGCTTTCTGTTTTGGGGAATTTATGCAAAGAAAATAGCAGCAAAGTGAGCAAAGACTTACGTAAAGTACACTAAACATATGTTTAGGTCCACTAACAGAAGATTAGTTGAATGAATAATTATAATCCATCTAATGGAATACTACATAGTAATTTAATATTTTAACATACTTACTGAAATTAAAAATGTCCATAATATACAACTCAATGAACAAAGCACATTTCTATTCATTGTGTGTAGTATGATCCTGTATTTCTGCAAAAGTAAAGCAATACATCGATATCTGTGTGTGTGTGTACACTCATTTACAAAAAAAAACTTAATAATGTTAATAATTATTATGGCTGGTCCAAGAGACTAGAAAAGTGAATTTTACCTTTTTTTCAATAAGCACAAGATTCTTTTAAATCAAAATTAAACATTTTTAAATTTAAAAATTTTAAGTACAAAAATATTCCCACTTGAAATAAAATTAAAGATGTTGGCAAGTCATTAGAAATCAATAACCATATGTGCTTTGGGAAGGAATGGGAGGAGGGAGGAAGGGAATAAGTCATTTGTCCCACCGGATGTACTGCCTTCTGGATTCCGCTGATTGCCTCATCATGGTATATTTAATTTATTCTTCCTCACCTCCTCCACTCTCAATTTTTCCTGTAAACTGGGTAGCTGAATTTAGAGGTTTGAGCACGTCCACATTTAACTATTTAGGCAAGAATCCTTCATTAACGTTGCTGTACACTTCTTATCGTAATATGTTAAGAGGGGTGAGGACAAAAGAAAGACTAGAAGAGGAATTGTCACAGCATAAAAGAGACCTAAGAGATGTAAGAAGCAAACAGAAGGCAGGCACGTTCTCTGGATCACGATTCAAACAATCCAATGTTCAAAGACAACTTTGAGACGATCAGAAAAAAAACTTGAACATGGACTGGGGATTGGATGAAATAAAAGAATTATTATTAACTTTGATACATTTGAAAATGAGCTGCTGCTTACAAAGTTTTAAACGACCTTACCAGTTAGAGATGCATACTAGAATATTTACAAGTTTAAGACATGCAATCTTGAATTTGCTATGAAACTCTCCAAGGGAAAAACAAAAGCGGAGGAGGCACAGATGAACAAGATCAGCCGTGAGTTGATAATCACTGAAGCCGAGTGACGGGCAGATATTATCCTATCCTCTCTACTCTGAATTTCCATGAAAAAAAGTTAAAAACAAAAAAGTCATCAGGGCCTGATGAGTTTCACCTAATCTTCACAGTACAGATGATTCCAAGGTTATGCAAACTCTTGTAGGTCACAGAAAAAGAGGAAAAGTTTCTCTACTAATGTACGAAGGCAGTATTTCAAAATACTAATCAATAGTTTAGAAAAAAGAGAACTAGAGAGATACTTATAAACACTTATTCACTGATTTTCATCCGTCCTTCTTTTCTAACATATGTATTCAAGGCTATAAATTCCCTCCACTGGCCACTTTAGTTGAATTCAACAAGGGTTGATATGAAGGATTATTATTAAAATGTAATTCAAAACATTTCCACTGTAATTTTCCTTGATTCATGGATCCATGGGTTATTTAGACGTGTACAGCATACTTGTCAAACAAATGGGCATTTTCTAGTCATCATTTTGGTATTACTTTATAGCTAATTCCACTGTAGTTAGAGAAAACAGTCTGTATGATTTCAATCCTTTGAAATTTGTTTACACTTGCTTTATGGCCCACCATATGGTAACTGTTTATAAATGTTCTATGTGCATTTGGGGAAACCATTGGGCAGAGTGTTTTATATTGCTCAAGTTTGTTAATCATGTTATTCTAATCTTTTGGGGGTTGGCACTATGGTGAGTTGGTGACCTGTTTTTGTAAATAATCTATTGGAACACAGCCACACCCATCTGTTTGCATATTCTCTACAGCCGCTTTCACATTACAATGGCAGAGCTGAGTAGGTGTAGACAGATATTCGATCTGCAGAGCCTAAAATATTTACTATCTGTCCCTTTACAGAAAAAGTTTACTAATCCCATTAATCTATAGCCTTCTAGCTTTTTGTCTCTGTGTTCTGTTACCGAGAGAGGCATGTTAAGAATCTCCCATTATGACTGGGCAGTTGTCATTTCTCCTTGTATCTAGGATACCCTACACTTCAGGAATTCTACCAGGTTTATAGCCCACAGAAGTCCAATGCACCAAAATGCATGGGAAAAAATGTTCATATTAACATCATTCATAATAGTCACAAGCCAGTAACAACCCAAATCTCTATTAATAGCAGAATGGATAAATAAATTGGGGTATAATCATGCAATGTAATACTACACAGCAATGAGGAGAAATGAACTACTGCTATATGCAACAACTCAGATGAACTTCACAACAAAATATTGAGCAAAAGAAGCCAGGGACAAAAGAACATGTACTATATGATCCCATTTATATAAAGTGAACGATCAGACAAATTCAATATGATGGTTTTAGATAACAATTACCTCCGGCGAGGAGGGAAGAGATTAAGATGAGATGGCACCTTCTGGGGTGCTGTAATATTCTATGTTTTCATTTTTAGTATTATACTTGAAAAAACTTCTAAAGAAAAGTACAGACCAGTTTCACTTATAAATGTAGAAGCAAAAATTTTTTAAATTTTTTATTATGAAAAATTTCAAGCAAAAAAAGAGGGAACAGTTTAATTGAAACCCACGTACAAAAAAAGAAAAGAATAGGATAAACTCTACATATCCATCATGTGACTTCAATAATTATCAACGCAAACCTAACTTTGTTTTATCTACACCACTGCTCTCTCCTCTTCCATCACTGGCTTATTTTGAAGCAAATCCAAGACATCTTTTTATTTCCAGATGCAAAAATATAAAATATTAGCAAATAGAATCCAGTCCCATATTAAAAGAACAGATCATTACGGATAAATACGGTTTCTTCCAGGAATAGGAGATACTGGGAAATCTAGTAACATAAATCAAAGAAAATTTTAAAGAGGAAGAAATTATAAATGAAAATAATTTTAAAGATAAAAAGCCTTTGAGGGGATCTAATGTACAGCATAGTGATGACGGGTAATAATAGTGTATTATAAACTTGAAAGTTGCAAAGAGAGTACATATTAAAGGTTCTCATCGCGAAAAAGAAATGGTAATTATATGATGCAACACAGGTGTTAGCTAAAGTTACGGCGGCAAACATTTCGCAATATATACATGTACCAAATCGTCAGATTACACACTTTAAACTTACAGAATGTCACATGTCAATTATACCTCAATAAAACTGGGGGGAAAAGTCTTTAGAGGAATAAAAACTTGATAAGTCACAGCTACCAGTTATTCAGACTCTACTATGTGCCAGGTACCCCACCTTGTACTTAAAAAACATTTACCCATTTAATCTTCATATTGCCTCTATGAAGTAGGAATTATGAGAATTAAGACAGTTTTTTTCACAAATGAAGAAGGTGACTCAGGCATTAACCTACCCAAATCATGGGCAGAAGTAGATTCTTCTTAGTCCTCAGTCCATACACTCACCACCTGGCCAAAGTTATTTGCAGGCGACGAAAGTGCTCAACTAGAAAACATAAAGGAATCAATTTAGAAGCTGTTAGTAATAATCTGAGTAGAAGGAAATGATATAATAAGTATATCTTTTTAATTTCTGCTCTTGTGCGTTACCTAAAATTGGAAGAAATAAAAGAGAGAGCAGGGTCTTACGGAAAAAAAAAGCCCACCATTGACAATTATAATAATTATTTAGGAATAAGCATAAACCAAATACGTCCAAGACACATATGGAAAAACACCATATCTGGTCAAAGAAACAAAAAACGGGTTAAAGGAAATCTATCAGACGTTCCTGCGAGTATTGTACCTAGGTCTTCATCAGTCCCACCCAAATTAAAGCTCCCACTCGATGGAACACAACTGCAGGAGTTTAAAAAAAAAAAAAAGAAAAGAAAAGAAAGAAGAAAACTTCCTAAGAGTGTGCAGAATGGAAATGGTTAGGCTGGGATGTTAGACTAAGAATGTATAAAATTATACCAATACCTACACACCTGATCCCCACATTAAAAAGCGAAATATACTAAATTTTAACAAGAGTCCTCTTTCAGAAGAGTATTTAGGAGGATGGGGATGTCATTACTTGGGTCGGGATGAACCTGAAAACAGATTTTCAGCAGAAATATACAGCAAACGTGGACGCAAGAGAACCAGGCACCCCATCTCTAAAATTAAGCGTTCGATAAGCAATAAACACGGATTCCCCAAACGCTGTCCAGAAACGGACCCGACTCCCCCTCCACCCAACCGCGGACACCCCAAACGCTACTCTCCAACAAAGACCTCCCCGTCCTCGTCCCAACTCGGAACCCCACGGGCTCCCCCTCCGCGGGGAACCCCAACACCGAACCCCCAGCGACGATTGCCACCCGCTTCCCCCAACACCGACCCCTACGCGCTCCGGAACAAAAAGAAAACCTAACGCGCTCTCCCCTGGCCCCGAAACACGCTCAGAACCCGACACCGATCCGACCGGTGACGTCCGTGTTGACCGCTGGAGACAAGCCGCGGAGCCACTTCTCTGAACGCTTTGCCTCAGTGTCTGCGGCCCCGCGGCCCCACCTCCCCGGCTGACAGGCCCCCCACCCCGCCCCGGAGCTGAAAGGACGGCGGTCGACGAGGGCCATCCAGCGTCGTTCCAGACACCTAGAGTCTGGCTCTCGGACGCCTCTCTGTGACGTAAAATATCCTCGCCTGACTCGAGGATATTTACTGGGAGCAGCCATTTTCCCACTTACTGCCGTACAGCGAGCGAAGGCTCTTTATTCCGCCTTTCGTGGGAAGGCACAAGATGAGAAGGTATTGAAAACGACCCTTTTCATCCCATTTCCAGGCCGCTTCAACCGCTGGGCCCCGACTTTGCAACATCCGCCAGGGGCGGTACACAAACCGCTCACCTTCCTAGAAGCTCATGCCTGCCCAGATCTCTCTGCGGGATGGGGAAGAAAGGGTCGCGTACATTAAGGCACTTTGATCCTAAGGCTAAAGAGAGGCTAAGTGGGCGCTGCCATGTTAGAGTAAGTTCAGCGTGGGGGGAATCTGAGCCGAACGCGAGCAACAGTTGGAGGGGAACCGGCTCATATCCCGGGGATGCTGGCTGGAAGGGAGCTTTATGGAGGAAGCCGCATTTGAGGCCAGTCTAGGGTTAAGAGAACGGCTGAAGAAGGCATTGCTCAGAGAGTGGGTAAAACGGCAGGATTATAAAGCCCTTGTTATGATTGGTGTGGAGGAAAATGGGAAAGGGGCAGTGACAACGCAGAGGCGTGGCTCTCCCTTCCACGGGGGAGGAGCCAAAGGCGGGGCAAGGTTTTCCTTCCACAAAAATGGGAACTTCCTTGAAATGAAAAGCTCTGAGAAAGGGAGGTGATTCTCTTCAATATTGCAGCCCAACAGATTGAAGTGACAAGTTCCCGACGCAAGACCCACTACTCATAATTATACAGCCAGGCTCAGAGCGCCTTCAAACCAAAGGGATTGAGCATTCATTCATTTATCCAGCAGATGTTTATAAAATGCCAACTGTGTGTCAGACACTGTTCTGCATGCTGGGGATACAAACGCTATAAACACAGACAAAAATACCCTTCTTTATGGAGTTTTACATTCTACTGGAGATATCACATGAAGTTATGGTTTGACTTCCTCATTACAGCAAGTGTTATGATTGCCATCTACAATGTGACCTACAATGCAACCTGGTTGTGTTGACCTACAATACGACCTGGAAGGCAGAGCATTGAACCAAAGATGATTATTCTCAAGTCTTAAGATCTAATGGAATTTGCTTTGCTGCGTTTTGGATTTGTTTGGGACCTATCACCCCTTTCTTCCTTCCAGTTTCTCTCCTTTAGAATGCGAATGTCTGCCCTATTCCTGTCCCACCACTGTATTTTGGAAGCATGTGAATTTTCTGGTTTTAAAGGTTCACAGCTGGAGAGGAATTTTGCCTCAGGGTAAATTGTACCTCAAGTCTCACCCATGTCTGATTTAGATGAGACTTTGGACTCTAGACTTTAGAGTTGATGTTGGAATGAGTTAAGATTTTGGAGACTGTTGGAGTGGAATGCGTGTATTTTGTATGCAAGGACATGAATTTGGGAGGGTGCTAGGGGTGGAATGTTATAGACTGAATGTTTGAGTCATGTCATATTCATATGTTGAAGCCCTAACACCCAGTGTGGTTATATTTGGGGATGAGGCCCCTAAGAAAGTAATTAAGGTTAAATGAGGTCATAAGAGTGGGGGCTCTGATCCAATAAGTTTAGTTATCTTATAAGAAGAGACACCAGAGAACTCTCAGTGCAAACTGAGGAAAGGCCATGTGAGAACGTAAGAAAGCAGCTGTCTGCAAGCCAGGAAGAGGATCCTCACTAGAAACCAAATCTGCTGGAACGTTGATCTTGGACTTCTAGCTTCTAGAATTGTGAGAAAATAAATTTCTGTTGTTTAAGCCATCCACTCTGTGATATTTTGTTTTGGCAGCCAGAGCAGTCTTAATACAGTGGTGAATTACATTGTTTAGAAAATTAGACAAATTTTAACCTACTTTGCATTCTTTGGATAAAACCAATGTAGTCACGAAGTGTTTACCTTTTTTCTATATTGCCTATGTGTTCAATAGAAACCTGGGAAACACTTGCAGGATCATGGTGGAAAGAATATAACTTTGGATCAGGCAAATTTAATAATATGGGGTTACCATATTGTTACCATTACCTTAATGGATTTTGGCTTTAATGTGAGCTCAATTAGAATGCTTCTAACAGTTTACATGGTTGGTTGACTGAAACCTGACTTATAGATGGCCTATACTAAATAAAGTTTAAATGCCAGAAATTCCTTCATATTCTGTAGAGTATCCAAAGGCATATGGAGTTGGCAATGCTGATGTGGCTTTATCATGTAAAACCAGCTTACCCATCCCAATTATGTATCCCAGGAGCATCCAGAAGTCAGTCTCTTCAATGAAGCTTATCTGGCTACAGAAATACTATCATAGAAATCTGTTACTATACATGAAAAGGTACAATAACACTTGAACTTATAGGGATAAGTTTATGATGCATGCTGTAAACTCATGGAAGCACTTAAATAAGAAAGTTACAGCTAAAAGCCAACAAAGGAGAAATAATCTAAAACATACTCAGTTACTCCAAAAGAAGGTAGAAAAAGAAGAAAAGGGGAGTAAATAGATGGGATAAATGGCACAGTGCACATTATTAATTTAAACCTAGATACATTAATTCTCACATTAAATATAAATGATCTAAACACCCCAATAAAAAGAAAGATTATCAACTAGATTAAAAAAAAGCAAGAGTCCAAGCTATATGCTGCCTACTAGGAACCCACTTTAAATATTAAGTCACAAATAGGTTAAATGTAAACCATGTTAATAGAAATATGAAAGATAAAAAGAAAGTCCTGTCAAATTTATAGAGAGAAAAACTACAATTTCCGGAGTGATGGCAGATTAGATATTGCAGAAGAAAAGATCAGTGAACTTGAAGATATAACATTAAAAACTATCCAAAATTAAACACAGGGGGGAAAAAGACCTTAAAAGTATGAACAGTATTATAACCTACTTGTGTATGCAAAAGAAAAGATCAGTGAACTTGATGACAAGGCAAAAGAAACTATACGAACTCCAGAACAAAGGAAATAAAAGCTTAAAAAAGGCTTTTATTACAAAAAGAAAATCTTTGAGTACTTGGCCAATGGGTAAGAGGTATCATTGTGAGGAATGCCAAGTGGAAACCTCTCAATTTGCCCTCCACTCTCTGATCAATACAGTGAATGAAAAACAATATTATGGGAGAGTTTATATGATAGAAAGAAGTAAAACGTATTGCATATCTTATAAACTCCACAGTACATTGTTATTATTAACATGTTAATCATTCTTCTACCTTTTTGATCTAATGGAATACAGCTATAACTGTTTATCCAGTTATAGTGATGTCATTTGCTCAATCTAGCACTTACGTCAGTTTTGATTGGCTTTTCTCCTCAACATTGGTCTCACTTTCCTTCTTTTATGCATGCCTGGCAATCTTCTAGATATCTGGTATACAGGGGTTAACAGAAGTTCCCTACCCTCATGAAGCTTACAATCTAACTTAGCCTATTTACACTCAAGACCTTATACTTGAGCATGAACTCAGAAATTTGCTATTTGTTGTAAGATGCTTTGTATTGAATCTGATTCAGTAAGGTTTATACATGACCCAAGGTCTTTATATACTCCATGTTAAAATCTTTAAGAAAACAATTGAGATGGTCTCTCCAAATGATTCTAATGGTTTTTACATTTTGCATTGATTTTTAAAAATCACCTTGTTTACAATGCCATTAAGATACCACATCTACTGACAGGCCTCCACCCTTAGTTTCTCCCTAAGAAACCTGACCTCATGCCCTTCCTCGAATCCGTTTTCCAGCAGTAGACTCGGTCTGAACCTCATCCTCCATCAGTTTTATGCCAGCCTCTACTGACATTACCCCTGACTACAGTTCTCTAATTACACAGATCAGTTTCTGAAAATACTTGCCAGGTTGGTCAAAGGCCTGTAGTATTCCAGCCCAAAACTAGGTTCAGCCCAATCTTCCAGAGCTCCTTTGCCTACTCCTGATCCTGTTCAGTGCCTTCAGCTCTGTGGAGTATAAGATAGCAAGGCAAGGTTAATTCTCCTATGAGGATCTACTTTTCTCTACCTCATATGACAACAGAATATGTAAGACTGAGTTCCTTTGACTTGAGAGGAAATGGGAATACATGTCAGGAAGAATGTTGGAGTGGTTCCATCAATGAGGCAAAGGGTAGGGTTTACACAGGGAACTACCTCCACAGGGCACAGTGCAGTGATTAGTTATCCAGGAGTTTAGGACTTCATTTTCCCAGGATTCTGAGAAGAATAATTTGAATAATCAGGGAAGGGGGAGAGCTAGGATGGGAAGCAAGTAATTTTTTTTTTTTTTTTTAAGAAGAAGATGATTAGCCCTAAGCTAACTACTGCCAGTCCTCTTTTTGCTGAGGAAGCCTGGCTGAGTTAACATCCATGCCCATCTTCCTCTACTTTATATGTGGGATGCCTAGCACAGCATGGTGTGCCAAATAGTGCCATATCTGCACGCGGGATCTGAACTGGCGAACCCCAGGCTGCCGAGAAGCAGAACGTGTGCACTTCACCGCTGCGCCACCGGGCCAGCCCCTAGAGTCATCTTAATTTGTGTTCAAATTGCCTATCTTAACTTTTTCTTTTCATGGTTTCAAAAAAATTACCCAGTGGAATGTATTTTATTTAATTTATAGGTTTAAATAACTAATTGTCCTTGGGCTTTAAGTTCATTTTACAAATCTGATTTGTCTACCTTTTCAAATCTAGGAAACTTTTTAAATCACGCTATGGTAACATTGTATTATGCCTGGTCTTATTTATAAATTGAAGTTAAACTCATCCAAGGATGTTAAGTTACATTTATGAATTTAATATATTCATTTCTTTTTTGAAGGACTTCAGTTGTCTGAAATAATTAAATAAATTTAGAGCCAAAGAAATGCAACAGCTAGCCATCTTCTGATATTGGGTGGGCACTGAAGATAATTAAAAAAGAAAAGAAAGAAAAAGAATCTACAAATGGGAGAAGTGAAAATGTGAAAACCTTAACCAGTGATGTGGGTCAGAGACTATCTCCCTTAAATTATGGAATCATTAACGTAATAACTAGGAATATGACCCAAGGTATCCTATCCCAAAATGTACATCAGGACACAAATGTCTTATGTGATGTATCATGCACGTGGAAATGGTACATAAAGCTCTCAAACATTCCTCATTTCCACAGGCCTTCTTTGCTTCACAAGAAGTTTAATATTTTGTTAAAGGTATTGCACGATTAGTGTGTTCACAGTGTTTTATTTCTATAGGATTTCATCTGCTAATGGATGAGGCAGAATGTACGTACCACTGGAAACCCTGCCACATTCACTGCCTTCCAACCTTCTCTCTCCATTATGTACTGGCACATATTGAGGCCAAAGACTTTCACACTGTCATTATATTTCTACACACTAGGAGCTCATTGATTATTTATAGTGATCACTAATAATGGATAGGGTCTATCTTCAAAAAAAATGGCTTTCCTAGCCTCTGCATTCATAGGCTTTCTGTTTATACAAAACCATACACTCAGCGAGACATTATTGCACAAGGCTTTTCCAAATTGAATGTATCAGTTTTTTCCTATGTGTTTTTTGTGACATAAAATAAGACATAATTGACCACTGAAGGTACAACCACATTCACTGCATTCATAAGGTTTCTCTCCTGTGCAAATCCTCTGTCATTTCCTGAGGGTACACATCTGGCCAAAGGCTGTCCCACTATGACTACATGTCTATTTGCTAGGAGCCTACTGATGTTCAATGATGTCTGAGGGGTCACAGAAGGCATCTGCACAGTCACTGTATTAACAGGGTTTTTCCCCTGCACGAGTTCACTAGTATTTAATAAGCTGTGACCCTTTGTGGAAGGATATTCCACCTTCACTAAATCTACATGTTTCTCTCTTGTGTGTACCCTCTTATGTTTAACAAGGCACGACATATGGGAGAAAGCTTTCCCACACTCATTGCATCCATAGGGTCTCTCTCCTGTATGGGTTCTTTGATGTACAATGAGCATTGTCTTTGTAGTGAAGGCTTTCCCACAGTCACTGCATTCATAGGGTTTCTCTCCTGTGTGAATTCTCTGATGTTTAATGAGTCCTGATTTCTGTGAACAAGATTTTCCACATTCAGTACATACAAAGGGAGTCTTTCCTGTATGAAATCGCTGATGTGCTATGAGGCACGCCTTCTGACTGAAGGCCTTACCACATTCAGAGCATCCATAGGGCTTCTCTCCAGTATGAGTTCGTTGATGTATAAGGAGATTGCCCTTCTGGATGAAACCTTTTCCACATTCACTGCATATATAAGGTTTCTCTCCTGTATGAGTTTTCTGATGTAGAATGAGCTGTGATTTTCTGGAGAAACCTTTCCCACATTCAGTGCATCCATGCGGTTTTTCCCCTCTTTCGTTTCTCTGATGTATAATGAGCTCTGCCTTCCTGCAAAAGGCTTTGCCACATTCAGTACATTCATAAGGTTTCTCTCCTGTATGAGTTCTCTGGTGTTCAGTTAACTTGAACTTTCTGGAGAATGCCTTCCCACATATACTGCATACATGGGGTTTATTTCCTGTATGAGTCTTCTGATGTTCAGTGAGCTGAAACCTCCTCAGGAAGGCTTTCCCACACTCACCGCACTCATGGGGTTTCTCTCCTTCATGAGTGCGCTGATGTTCAGTGAGCTTAAACTTCTTGAAGAAAGTTTTTCCACATACATTACATCCATGGGGTTTCTTTCCTGTATGAATTCTCTTATGTTCAGTGAGCCGAGATTTCTTGAGAAAGGCTTTCCCACATTCAGTACATTCATGGGCTTTCTCTATTTTGTGTGTTGGCTGATGTGTAAGGAATTGTGACTTAGTACTGATGGGTTTTCTACTTTCATGGAATTTAATTTCAGTATGAGTTTGCTCATGATTAGAATGGAGAAGGGATTTCCCATCTCCATTAAACTCAGCAGGCTCCTTTATGTCACAGCTTCTACTCTGGTTGATTAAATCTAAGTATGATTTCAAAGTTTTTCCATGTAAATCAAACATATCATTATTTGGCTTTAAAGGAAAACTACTTTTGCTCTGATGAACAATATTTCCAAATGCATTCTGTTCATAACACTGTTCCATCCTCTTTGGCATTTTTTGGTTTTGCCAGTGTTGCTGCAGATGATCATCAACTTTCTCAAATTCTAGGAAAGAACAGAACAATGAATTCTTCCATGAGCATCACACAGAATAAAACTGCTTCAAAAATACCTTGGGGTGGGCTGGCTCTTTAGTGGAAAACCTATGGTATCAACACAAAAGAAATTCCAAGTATAAATGTCTTATCTCTTTATGTTAAACTTTTTATTGTAGTTAAATATGCATAAGATAAAATTTACTGTATTAGCCATTTTTAAGCATGCAGTTCTGTGGCCTCAAGTACATTCACACTGTTGTGCAACTATCCCCACCATCCATCTCTAGAACATTTTCATCTTCCCCAACTGAAAAACTCTGTACCTATTAAACACTAATTCCATATCTCTTGGAAATGGTTAAAAACACAATAATATGGGGCTGGCCCTGTGGCTGAGTGGTTAAGTTCACCTGCTCCGCTGCAGGCGGCCCAGTGTTTCGTTGGTTCGAATCCTGGGCGTGGACATGGCACTGCTCATCAAACCATGCTGAGGCAGCGTCCCACATAGCACAACTAGAAGGACCCACAATGAAGAATATACAACTATGTACCAGGGGCTTTGGGGAGAAAAAGGAAAAAATAAAATCTTTAAAACAACAGCAACAACAAAAGAAAAACCACAATAATATAAAACACCAAATAAACCAAAAGATGACAGCCATCAGTGTAAAATAGGGTAAATTCACAATGAATAAATATATATTTGTCTGTTTTATAAACAGGGTCCTGGAGACAATAAAATACAAGGAAGTCTGTGTTAACATCAGATCACAGAGATTCAAAATGGTGTGGGACACATCCATTCATTAAACACATCCTTCTTTTTGTTTTTGAGGAAGATTAGCCCTGAGCTAACAGCTGCCACCAATCTTCCTCTTTTTGCTGAGGAAGACTGGCCCTAAGCTAACATCTGTGCCCATCTTCCTCTTTATATATGGGACGTCTGCCACAGCATGGCTTGACAAACAGTGCATAGGTCTGCACCCAGGATCCGAACCAGCAAACAGCAAACCCCGGGCTGCTGAAGTGGAATGTGTAAACACATCTTCTTAAATGGCTACCATATACCAGGCATGGCAGTGGTGCTAGAGAAACACAAAAATATTCTTTATTTTCACTGAAGTCATATTCTAGGGGTGGAAAGGGAAACAGAATAAACAAGTGAGAAAAAGAATAAAGGAGGCAGTTGCAAATGTGACCGTGGTTTGAAGAAGCAAAGGAAACAAAGAGAAGTGGAAGAAATCAGGATTTATTTGGAAAGAAACATAAACAAGATTCACTAATGGATTTGATGTGGGGAGACGTAACAAGTGGAATCGAAGGGTACTCCTCAGTATTTGGCTTGAGCCAATGGGTAGGTGGGTAGTGCCTTTTAACAAGGTGAGGAATATTGCTGAAGTTCAGAATGTGAAGGAAAACAAGTGTATTTTGAAGCATATCAACTTTGAGAGAATATTAGCTATCCAAGTACAGCCATGGAAATCCAAGTCAGATACACAAAATTTGAGAAAGGTCTTGACTGGACATAGAAATGTGGAAATCATCAGTATGTAAGTATTATTTAAGGTCAGCAGAATATTGAATGAGGTCACACTCTGAGAACGTGAAGACTGAATGAGGACGAAGGGAGAAGACCAAGGCTTTAGTCATTTCAACATACACAGCTTTGGAATTCGTAGAGCCCAATGAAGAGACCTCAACATTAACCACAAGGTAGAGAAATAAGCAGATGCAGGTGTTAGAATAAATATCGCAAAGAAGCCAGCCAGAACGCTGGATGCACAGCACCTGATTTCAAGATAATTCTAACAGACTCTTGGGTGCTCCTCCTGTTGCTAAAATACGCCATTCTTCTTCATTATGGAGACTATCATCAAACTAACTTCCCCAAAGCACCAGTGACACAGTTTTGCAGTCAACAGCTTGTATCTAGCTGTAACACACTCCTGTGCTCCCACAGGGAGAGGGACATGATGATCCTTATGAACTCTGACAACATGCTGGTGGGGCACACGGTCTTCTCCAGCAGACCTCCTGCTGCGCCAGCTATGGGGGCCCTCACCTTCTTCATCATGCTGAGCTTTCATAGACGTCAGATTGGAATCATTCCCATCTCACTAATCTCTCGTCTTCCTCTTGCCACTAACAGCATCTTCTTCCTCAAGTCTTCAGTTATGTCTCCGCTGGCAGCCATCAAGGGGTCCTAAAGGACCGCCTTCCTCCTGAATCCAGGACTCATGGCAGCTTTCCCTTTTGTTTTTCTTAGAACATCTGGCTATACTTTACTATTGCTACAATGCTGTCACCAAGGTGAAAGGTCAGCCTACCTAGAGCTAGAAAAATACAAAACCTAATCTTCATCATGCCCGCTGTATTACTAACACACACAATTCACAAGAGTAAGCCTGGTGACAGAAGTTTACATTACCATAAGGTGCCCAGTTTATCTGAGTTTCCACTCCACTACTTCCCAGATAGATATCTTCTAACATGGATCTCTGTGCGGCTAGTTTCATGCCAATCTTTCGACAGTGCCCACATGGCCTTGCACATTTCCAATTTCATGCCTTCTTACTGTGTTTCCTCCTCATCATCTTAATTCAAAACCTAGCTATATCTCTGAGATAAGATACTTTCTGATACTGCCATTCTCCATTCTCTCTATACCACTTTAGGCTACTCGTCTCTTAAATATCTAAAGTAGTCCCTATATTTATTATTCACTTCTATTTTGTACAGCCTTGAACTGTAGCAACAACGTTTCACATATTCAAAAGCTTCATTTGTAAATACTACATGAAGATTTGTCTGACCTTTGCTTGTATAATCTTTACTCCAGAAATATACTTCTTTGTTTCCCACTAAATTCACTCTCTCCTACTATGTATTAGGGCTGCAGTTTGTCAGCTAGGGTCACAACAGTACCCTTAGAGAGCTTTGCATAAAGACATACACGGGCCATCAACCCAATTTTAACAAAACCAGATTCTCTGAGAAAGAGGTCTTGGTCCAGGTATTATAAAAACCCCTTCAATAAAGAGCTGGCATTTAAGAAATGCTTGATAGATAGATGGAAAAGAATAGTCTTTCTCCAGCCTGGCTAATCAGTTACTCGATGAAGAAATAAGTGAGCAAACAAGATGTATTTCATTCTTGCACAAGAAGAATGAAAAAGAGGCCCTTGATTCGAGAGTGGTGAAGAAGCCTCAGGCAGCACCAAACCACACTGAGACAGTATCTTTAGGAGTGGCTTGTGTGATGGGGCACAAAGTACAATGAGAATTCAGAGAAGATATTGTTATATTTTGGTGTTGTACAAACCATTTCATGAAAAGAGAATTCAAAGTGAGAAACCTATATTGTCTGAAAGGGAAGTACAAATAAAAATCACATATTCATGTCTTAGTTTTTATCTTACTTGATGAATCAGCAACTCTATTTTTTTTTTTTTTTTTTGAGGAAGATTAGCTCTGAGCTAACTACTGCCAGTCCTCCTCTTTTTGCTGAGGAAGCCTGGCCCTGAGCTAACATCGTGCCCATCTTCCTCTACTTTATATGTGGGATGCCTACGACAGCATGGCGTGCCAAGTGGTGCCATGTCCGCACCCGGGATCCGAACCAGCGAACCCTGGGCCGCCAAGAAGCGGAACGTGTGAACTTAACCACTGCGCCACCAGGCCGGCCCCTGAATCAGCAATTCTAGACAATGTTGATGGCTCTACCTTTCATGAAACACTTGCCCACCACCTGCTCTCCCCCAACCATGTTTACTACACTCATCTGTCAAATCTCTAATTGTCCAAGGCGCTTGTTTTCTTCACCTGGACTCACTCTCTAGATCTTCTCTGGTCCAAGTTTCTATCTCCAAACCTACCTCTCCCTGAAGTCTCTGGATGCATCCAACCACAGCACAGACCTCCACCTGGATTTTAACAAGGACCTCTAACTTACCGTCTCCGTTTTGAACTCCTGACTTCCCAACCTAAGCCTCCTCCTCCACACATCTTCTCCATCACAGTAAATGGCAATTCTACTCTTCTCATTACTCATGCCAAAAATCCTTAACATCATCCTCCATTTGTTTCTTTTTCTCTCACGCTCCATGTGTTGAGTTGAATTGTGTCTCCCCAGAGAGATATGTTTGAATCCTAACCCTTAGTGCCTGTGAATGTGACCTTATGTGGAAACAGAGTCTCTGCAGATGTAATCATGCTAAGATGAGGTCATAATAGATTAGGGTTGGGCTCTAACCCAATGACTTATAAGGAGAGGGAGATTTGGCTGCAGTCACACAGAGACATGCAGGGAGAAGGCCATGTAATGACAGAGGCTAAGACTGGAATGATGTGTCTACAATCTAAGGAAAGTCAAAGATTTCTGGGAACCACTGTAAGTGAAGAAGGGGCAAGAAAGGATTCTTTCCTAGACCATTGAGAGGGAGCATGACCCTACCAACACCTTGATTTCCAAATTCTAGTATCTAAAACTGTGACAGAATAAATTTCTGTTGTTTTAAGTGACCCAGTGTGGGTAATTTATCACAGCAGCTCTAGGAAACTAACATACCCAATACCTACTTCAATGGCAAATTCAATCGGCCTTCTTAGATACATCCAGAATCTTCCCATACTCGTCCCTGAAGCCTAGCTGAAGTTGCCAACAACCAAGTCTCCCACCTGGCTTTCTGTTTCAACACCTGCCTATTCCAGTCTGTTTTCTACCCATAGCCAAAGTGATACTTCTAAAGCATAAATTATATCATGTCACCGCTATATTCTAAACCTTCTCAAGTTTTCTCAATTCATTAGGAGTAAAGTCAAGTCCTTGAAATAGATTACAACGTCCAACACGACCAACTGACATATCACCAACCCCCAAACCCCACTGAACTCATCTCTAGTCATTTTTCTTCTTGCTCACTCCATTCTATCCACATGGGCTTCCCTGATGATCCTCAAACACACTCCTGCCTCTCCTGTGAATTTTCCATTCTCTCCACTCTTCACCTAGGGAACCTACTCATGTCATTCATCTCTCTGCTCAAAAGAACCTTCTTATGGAGGTGATCCTATTCCTAAAAGAGACCCCATGACCCACTGTTCCACTATGCCCATGGATTGACATTCACAGCCCGTTTCACCATCAGACACAGTGTCTATGCACTTTTTCCCATTTTTTTCTTATTGCGATAAAATACACATAGCACAAAATTTACCATCTTAATCATTTTTGAGTGTACAGTTCAGTAATGTTAAGTACATTCACAATGTTGTCTAACCATCACCACTATCCACCAACCTTCATCACTCTTTTCATCTTGTAAAACTGAAACTCTATACCTATATATTTATTTTTGTTATATGTGTGTCTCCTCCTTTTCAAGAGTGGGGCCCTAGGTCTTTGATAGAAGAGAAATTTCTGTGTCATAGTAATATAATCAATGGGGATACAATATCATCAGACTATGAGGAGGAAAAGGAAAGCTTTAGGGAGAAGAACCCAGCAACAAAATCTAATTTGAACTAACGGAAAGATTATAGTTAACAAATATACAAAGGAATTACAGTAAAGTAGGCAAGAGGCTTCAGGCTAGGAACTAAGAATGAGAAATTTTATAAAGGTCTTTCCTAATCAAGCAAAGAACAGGAAGAGCAGGGACCTGAAATATGGGAAGCCCAGAGGGTAGAGAAGATTCCAGGGAAGGCCGGGATGGGCAGGATTTAAGACGTAGAGAAGTAGGAGAGAATCTCAATTTTAAAAAGGGTGATGGAAAGAGATTTTCTTGGAAGGAAGAAGGTTCTAGTTCATAGTCAGTTGGCATGGAGACAGGTAAAATATACGGCTGTATTGTACAGATTAGCCATGTTAAGAGAGATGTCATCTTGGGAGTCTCCACAGAGAGGAAGAGCTTACATATTTGAATAATGTACAGCTTTAAGGCCTATGAAAAAGAGCAGAGGTTGACAAACAGAACCTTTGAAGAAGCTCAGAGTGGGGAAAAAGAAAAGTTAAGGAAGCAGATAAATGCACACTAAGAGACCAAGTTACCATGGGGATAAAGCATCCAAGGTAAAATGGATGTTATGAAGGGAAATAAATATTTCCCAATGGGGCAGGAAGGTGTATCAGTCAAAAGACCGGATGAATTTAAAGTTTTCTCTCAGAACAGAGACATGGAAGGAGGAATTTCATAGCAAGAGAGGTGAAAGGAACACAAAATCATACTCTCGACAAGTGATGGAGAATGGGAAGATTTGAAAGTCCAAGCAAGAATTCCAGGGGACAAAAAGATGACATCTAAGAAGTAATAAATAGGGCTGATCTCGTGGTGTAGTGGTTAAGGTTTGGTGCACTCCACTTCAGCAGCCCAGGGTTCATGGGTTCGGATCCCAGGCATGGACTTATACCACTCATCAGCCATGCTGTGGCAGCAACTCGCACACGAAATAGAGCAAGATTGGCACAGATGTTAGCTCAGGGCGAATCTTCCTCACCAAAATGAAAAAAAAAAAAAAAACAAAGAAGAAACAAATACAGATTAGTTCTAAGAAGAGATAAAGGGGTGGGGCCGGCCCAGTGGCATAGCAGTTAAGTCTGCATGCTCCGCTTCAGCAGCCTGAGGTTCAGATTCAGGTTGCAGACCTATGCACCACTCATCAAGCCAGGCTGTAGCAGGCATTCCCACACATAAAACAAATAGAGGAAGATGGGCACAGATGTTAGCTCAGGGTTAATCTTCCTCAGAAAAAAAAAAGGAGGAAGATTGGCAGTGGATATTTACTCAGGGCTAATCTTCCTTAAGAAAAAAAAGAAGAGCTAAAGGGGCATATTTACCTCTAAATTCCCACACAGAAAAAAGAGCTCTCGTATGGGGAGAGGGATCCATGGAGGCTGTTTCTGAATCCTCAGACACTGTCACCACTGTGATGCCATCTCTCAACAATGAGGAAGTGATTTCCACAGCCTTCCCCCTCCTGCTGGTGCTCCCTCACTTACCTGGATGAGGTTGACTGTGAATTTCATCTTCTAAAGTCCATGGTGGTTCTATTTGTTCCAATTTGGAGAGTGCATCTGCTTTGCTGACTTGATACCCTGTTCATGGGAAATGACAGAAGACATAGTTAGGCTCATCAAATGGCACAAGGAATCTGTGACAATAGGAGAATGGTACATTTTAGGGACTGCACAATATGCATGTTTGCAAATTAAAGGCTTGTCTCTAAGGTGAGGAGAGACTATATCTTCTCATCTGGGGCCAGGGAGGGGACTGAGAAGCTACCATTCAGAGCACCAGACACAAGGTTTTCAGAAGCTGAGAATGGAAAGGCCAATGACTGGGGACCCTCTGAGTGACACAGGGGAGCGGTCCTCACCCACGGACACCAGGTTGCTATAGTTCTCCAACATCACATCCCGGTACAGGTTCCTCTGAGCAGGGGCCAGGAGCTGCCACTCCTCCCAGGTGAACTCCACAGCCACGTCCTCCAGGGTCAGAGATTCCTGTAATAACACGGTCCTGTTTAATGTGAGTGTTTCTCTAGTTACTGAAATGGAAGCTGTGAGATAAGAGAAAAACATATGTATTGGTCTCTGCCTCTGGTTCCTGACCTAGAACTCCTAAAACCTGTGTAATTTCCTAAATGATAAGAGCATTAGGAGCATCTTTTGTTCTAATAGTTGGTCTTTGATCCTGGTTCCTAACACAGGGCTCCTGAAACCCTTGTAAATTCCTAAGTAATAAGTATGGGGTTCAGAGGGCTTTTGGGCTGCTGAACATGCGGAGGTGCTAGGAGAGTGGCTTGCCCAGAGAGGGCGTGGAAGCTCCAAGCCCCTCCCCACATAGCTTGCCCTCTGCATCTCTTCCATCTGGATGGTCACTGCATCCTTTATCATACCCTTTTATAATAATCTGGTAAATTTAAGTGTTTCCCTGAATTCTGTCGGCCACTCTAGCCAATTAATTGAACCTGAGGAGGGAGTCATGGGAACTTCTGATTTGTAGCCAAGTCAGACAGAAGTTGTGGGTTACCTGGGGTCCCACTCTTTTCTATTGGCATCTGAAATAGGGGCAGCCTCACGGGACTGAGCCCTTAATCTCTGGGATCTGACGCTCACTCCAGGAAGATAGTGTTAGAACCAAGTTAAATTGTAAGACACCCAGCTGGTGGCAGAGAATTGCCTGTTGTGGGGAAAACCCCGCCACGTCTGGCGTCAGAAGTGCTGTGAGTGTGGTAGCAGGGTGAGAATAAAGGAGACACACAGAGGAAGGACGGGGTCTTACCCTATTCAAAAGGAATGTGGAAGAAGTTGTTCTGCTCATTCTCACCATGTAGGCGACATTTGTATTCCTATTTTTTTTAATACATTGTGAAAGAAGCAAAGTCATATTAAAATATTCAGTCATCCATTCATTCAACAAATCACAAATTTCTGTAACATGCAGCCATTAAATCCTCCTGCTCCCCTAAGATCATTTGCAATTTATGTGTTTCAGCACCTACTTGTCAATCAATGAATGATATGCTAGTGACATCAGAACGACATACTATGATTCCACTCGTAAAAAATGGCATAAGAGATGTAAGCATTTATGTACATAGATTTACACATATGTACGCCCTCATGTGCATGCATACACACGGACACATCTAAATACATATATAAAGCATTTGCTAATGATGAGCTCGAGAATCAGGAAAAAAATATATGGAGGGGGAAATTCGTGTGATAACTACGGGTACTAGATACTTTGCAATTTGCGTCTTTTCACTAAATATGTGGTATCTTTTCCAATGCTAATTTTCCAATAATCTGATTCTCAGACAGCAACTGGGTGTCCTACAACCCAATCCTATTCTGATGCTAACGACTCAGAGTTAGCGTAAGGCTCCACAGGTTTAAAAGGGCTCAGTCCCACAAGACTGCCTTCACTTCAGACACCAGGAGGAAACACCAGGTCCCCAGGGAACCCACAACTTCTGTCCAACTTGGCTACAAATTCCGGGGTTCCCACAACCTCCTCCCTCAGGCTTGAGAATTTGCTAGGACAACTCAGAGAACTCAGGAAAATGTTATACTTACTATTGCAGGTTATTATGAAGGATATAAATGAACGGCCACATGAAGAAATACATAGGGTGAGTTCGAAAGGGGGTCCTGAGTGCAGGAGCCTCTGTCCCGGTGGAGGTGGGCAGCACCACTCCCCAGCAGGTGGATGTGTTTGCCCCCTTGGAAGCTCTCTGAACCAAGTCGGGGTTTTTATGGAGGTTCCATTACACAGACATGATTGGTTACATCATTGACTACTAAGGAGAGAACTCAGTCTCCATCCCCACTCCCAACCCAGACCTCGGAGGGTGGAGCTAAAATTCCAACCCTCTAATCAACACTTGGTCTTCCAGGGGACCAGGTCCCATCCTGAAGTTATCCAGGGGCCCACCCTGAGTCACCTCATTAGCATAAACTCAGATAAGACTCAAAGGGGCTTGTCATGAACAACAAAAGACACTCCTACCACTCAGGAAATTGCCAGGGTTTTAGGAGCTCTGTGTCAGGAACTGGAGACAAAGACGAAATATACATATTTTGCATTACGCCACAATGAGTCATTTGTGTAATTAAAATAAAGGCAATAAAGAGGTGGGAGGTGATAACTAGATTCTGAACACAGGGAAGGGCTCTGCATTTTCTGAGAGAAGGTGAAGTTCTAAAGCAAACCCTGTGCATCTCAACAACCCAAGCCATCACCAGACAGCAGAACTTATAACTCCCTATGGCCAAATCCGCACTCAAGCCTGTTCACAGAGGACCGCTGAAAGCCCTGCAAACCTTCCATTTTCCTGGGCACTTTAGGTTTTATTCAAGGATAAACCCTGACGGCAACACGGCTAAGTACATAAGTACATAAGTCACCAGGCTGTGGTCTCCTGAACTGTGTTCACTGAATTCTACTTGGTCTAGTCCTACAGGGACTCAGAATAATCGTGTAAGAAACAGCGTACACAACCTGCTTGTACATCTTTTTCAGGAATGCTGCCAAGAACACACAGTCCACCATGTCACCATCAAAGAAATCTCCCAAGACTTAAGTGCCATAAAGAGTGACATCTCCTGAGGAACTGATCTTATTTCTCCTCAGAGTCAGCACATATCCTGTAACTTACCATGATCCCCTGGTTGTGATGGCTGTCAGAAATATGAGCTACAAGTTGACAGTTGACATAACCACCCAGGTCCTGCAGAATCATATATTATATTCCAACATTGGTCAACATTGTAGTACGAACCCTAGGAACAATATATTCCTGATTCCATTTTGTCCGGATTTTAAAGGTCCAGTCTATGTGTATTTCTCCCCAGAGCCCATTTTCCCCCAAATTTATCCTTTTCATTTAGTTGAAATGATTCTTTCAGGCCTCCATAAATCCACGAGGGAATCAAGTTAAGAATAAAACAAACCAATAGTCACCTGGGCCTTCATCATTTTCTTCTGTTTTGGGAAATGCCCAGTAACTGGGGCGTTCTGTGTTCAGTCTCTTCTGGACCTGCCCTAAATTTCTATTCAGAAATCTCAGTCTCAAGTCAAAGACGTCTCATGAAACGACCACATGCAACTCCAGGAAGCTCCTCTTCATCCTCTCCTTCATCTCTCTTTCTCTTGGGAAGCCAGGACCTACGGGGTGAAGAGCAAGTTCATTTCGGGTGATACATTTCCTCTGGGCCCAGATGCTGTCCCTGTTGCTGTGCACTCACCTTACATCAAGGCCAATATTTCTAACTGTCTTTATTTAGTGCCTCTGATATTGTGATTTATAAGAAATATGTATATTCACTTATTCAGATGCCCAAAATATATTTCTCCAATATATTTGGTTTTAATCCACAGTTCCTGGCTCACAGCTCCCAAAACCTTGGAATTTCCTAAGTGTTACGAATGGATATGTGGATTTTGGGGCCCAGGACAGTGGCAGGTGAAAGTGTTTTGGTTCCTCAACATGGAACCTCTCCAAAAAAAGGGGCCGACTAGCTGTCCCTTTGCATTTTTATGGAGGCTTCATTACATAGCCATGATTGACTAAGTCATTGGCCACTGGCGATTGATTCAACCTCCAGCCCCCACCTCCCCTCCCCGGAAGTTGGGGGGTGGGACTGAAAGTTCCGACCCTCTAATCACATGGTTGGCTGTACTGGCAACCAGGCCCCATCCTTAGGTGCTTTCCAAAAGTCACCTCATTAACGTAATAAAGGACACTTTTATCGCTCTCATCACTTAGGAAATTCCAAGGGTTTTAGGAGCTCTGTGTCAGAAACAGGGACAAAGACCAAATATTTATTTCTCATTACAAATCACAATATGACCAGAACTCACCCAAGTCATCTAGTAAGAGCAAGAATCCAGATTAAAAAACCAGATTCAGGGGCCGGCCCTGTGGTGTAGCGGTTAAGTTTGGCATGCTCTGCTTTGGCGGCCTGGGTTCGCAGGTTTGGATCCCAGGCACAGACCTGCATCACTTGTCAGCCATGCTGTGGCAGCAACCCACATACAAAATAGAGGAAGACTGGCACAGATGTTAGCTCAGGCTAATCTTCCTCAAGCAAAAAAAGAGGAAGATTGGCAAACAGATGTAAGCTTAGGGAGAATCTTCCTCAGCAAAAAAAAAAAAACAAAAAAACCCCAGATTCATTTCATCCCAGAATCCACACACTTGTCACTGGGCCAATATTATTTGGAGATGCTCAGATCATTCACTTAGAAAATATAAAGGAATCAATTAAAAAGCTACTGTAGAACTCTAGTTGAAAGGAATGAGACAGGAATCAGCCTAATGAGATAGTGTTGTCTGCAAGATAAGGCCCCTAACCAATCAGCAAGCTAAGAGAATTGATAGAGACCACCAAGATCCACATTCCATAGCCTCCAGACTTTCCCAGGCTTATGCACATGCCCTAGCACCCAGGAGTTGACTGAAGGTGACCCTAGCCCCATGACCATAGTAAAAATCACACCAGGGGTGGAGAGCTAGCATGCTAATGATAGATGCAACACATGCGGTGGCATGTCAAATAAGAGGGCAAGTGCAAGAAAGACCGCACCTCTACATGCCACGACAAGGCACTCCTCTCCAGCCTTTGCCTAATAAAAAGCCCCACAATCCTGCTCCCTAAAGAGTCAGTCATCTGCCCGTTTCCCTTCTGCACCGGCTACCTTGTGCCTCCCTTGTGCACAAGCTAATAGACTTTTACTTTTCTACTCCCATTTGTTATCTCTCTTGATTTCTATTCTGGGGGACAACAGGAACGCTGAAGTATTTCGGGGAAATCATGATGTCTGCAATTTACTTGGGAATGCACTAAAAGTTCTTTCAAAAAGAAGGAAAATAAGATGAATTAATGAATGGAGGGATGGATAGATAACTGATAGAACAAGTACAGTAAAACGTTAGTGGTACAATCTAGGTGGTAGGTATATGTTCACTGTAAAATTCATTCAACTTTGCTGTGTGTTTGGAATTTTTCATAACTAAACGTTGACTTGGAAAAGGCTATTAGTAATAAAAAAAAGTTCAGTAAAGTGACCAAAACAAAATAAATATTTAATAATATTTTTAAATTGCTTCACTGTGTTAAAGAAAATTAGGAGAACGTGAGATTAAAAAGTTAGAAAAAAAGACCCTGTTTACAATTGCAACAGGCAAAAAACCAGGAAGGAGATAAGTGTCAGTGAAACACACCCTTGGATAAATCGTCAAATCCTAATACAACCCCAAAAGCAATAACTAAATATTTTAAATATTCCAGTGCAATCCAAATAGCATGTATTTAATCAGATTCTAGTCACAATGTCACTGGTTGTCTCTCCCGTTTATCTATTAATGTCGTCATTTAAAAAATTCTTAATAAGAGAATTTGTATGATGGAAATGTTTAGAATATGAAATTAGCTTAAAAAAAAATGACACCAATGTGTCCACAGTTTATCTGAATTACGAAAATTCAGCAGAGAAAATACAAGCCCAAAATTGAAATATACGAACACTTGAATAAGAGCTATCTTTGGGAAATAAAATTTAGGGGTCTAGAAATGTCATTTTAACTGGCGGTAGAAAGAATCTGAAGGGAAGTATCCAACTGAACTTGAAGGAGGAAGGAAAGAAAGCTCATCTTTAATAGAAAGTTTACCAGTTGAGATTTGCTTAATCATGACCTCCCTAAACTTCACATCTGGGGGACGAAAGGAGACAGTGATCGAGGGGCCTAAGGAGATTTGCAAACAGTCCATGGAGAGGGAACCGTACTTTAAGGTCCGAGGGGGAATGTAACGTTCATCAGGTGTGTCTAACCCCTGGCTCCTCCATCCCTGAGCCTCTTAACTACATCCAGACACCGCTTTCGTTGACAAACACCAACTCCCCTCCAGTTCTCAATCGCTGAGCCCCACCGACAGGGGGAGCTGCAAAGACCCCAAACTCTGATCTCAGGGATCCCAGTCCTTGCTCGATAGACCTGTAATGCCTGACCACCCGAGCTCCCCATGCCGGACAGCAAAGACATCCCAACTTCAGAGCACGGTCCCGGAGCGGCAGCTCTTCCCACGGACCCTGCGGGCCTCCGACAAGGACGGCCACAGATCCGCCTCCCTCCTGAACCTAATCCACAAGAGACTCACACACTGACCTGCTTTTCCCTGGATCCCACTGCAACCTCCTAGCGGCTACACTTAACTTTTGCGGATTCTTTCATTCCAGCACCGTCAACCCAGCACCCGCCCCGACCTACGGCGGCCGAAGAGGGAGCGAGAGGTTTTTACGCAGCGCGGCAATTGGACTTCCGGCTCCTCCTTCGAGGGTAATATGTCCGCGCCCTCTGCGCCACGCCTCCCTGGGGGCAGCCATCTTTGAATATTTGCGGTACGGAACGGAAATGGCTGTCTTTGCGCCGCTCACCAGGATGGCTAGATACAGTGAAAAGGCAATGAACCGTTACCTCGCTCCACCCTTCAGCCCGTGGGCGGCGAGGCTGGAAGGGTTGCAAACAACGCTGCGCAAACTGCGTAGATTTTCAGAGGCTCGAGCTTACTTACACAATATGGCTACGTCCAGCTCAGCGGACAAGAAATTATGAGAAATGGCTCAACGAGCCCGGCCATCTTAGAGGAATTTCAGGTGTCGGTACAGCAGGAAATACGCCCCCGAGAAGGGGAGAAGGAGAATAGATCATTAAGCTTGGAAATGAAAGGGCCGATGACAAGTCCTTGCATCTCAGCCGGTGAGGTCAGACTTAGAAGGTGTGAGTGAGGGTGAAAACATAAATTCATAGCCCAGGTCGCCTTTGGGTCAGGCCTGTTTGGAAAACACCAAATGTTGAAATTTGAAATTGGGGTCTATGAAATAATTGGATACAAAAGCTACTAGGACGCTGTCGTAGCATCAGCAATGTGGCGTCAATGAGTTTTGAAGAACTCACACACAGCCATTCTTTCTGGGACAGTATCATCACGGCCTTGTGCTTGCAACTAAGATTACTGGACGAAGATTCTGGAGCATCTATGTGCTGTTTTGTCACTTTCTTATGTCCTCCCCAACTCTGCTCCCATCTTACCCTCTCTCTGTCCCTTAGTCCAAGTTCTCTCCAGCTGTAGCAGCAGTAAGCTATGGCAGAGAGAAATCAAATATTGCATACAAACTTGTAAGATAATATAAATCGGTCAACTATAAGGACAGAAGTGTCCAAAAGCTATTAAAACTATCCCATCCAATAGGAGTTGCTATAATTTTTTTTTAAAGATAAAAGAAATAAAATCTGAGAATTGGCCCATCCACAAATCGGCCTGCTTCCCATTAAGAACGATGTTTAATATCTTTTCATGTTAATTGGCTATTCAGAGTCGCCTCTTCTGTGAATCTTTTCCCATAGATTTTTACTCTGTTGTCATTTTCTTATTGATTCGTAAGAATTTTTCATGTAGTCTAAGTTTTCATCCTTTTTGAGTTGTGTTGCAAATGTATTCTCCCAGTCTGTTTTTGACGTCTAGTATATGAAATTATCTAATTTTAATGGAGCTGAAATTTAAAGCTCTCTCCTTTTGTGAACAGATTTTTGGGACCCCTCTCCCTGGTCTAACAGGCAAATCTAGCAAGCAAACTGCATCGGCTTTAAGGTAATATAATAAAAATCCAGGCTGTGCTGTGAAGCAGCCGTGCAGGCAATCTTCAGCCTGTGTCAAAATGACTTTGCAACCCCACACCTCATGACTGAAGACACCAGCTGGAGAAATCAACAACAGGAAAAGATAAAGGGTGCCTCCCTCCTACATGCGCAGCTGCATTTCTTAGAGATTGAGGGAATAATTAATGACCCTGGTCCTTGCCTCCCTCCACACATAGATAACATTAGCATCCCTGAACTTGTTTGATGTATAACCAAGAAATTCTTGTTCATGTTATCTTTAATGTGTAATCTAAAGAAAAACCAGATATACCCTATCCCTTTTGATGTATATGATTCTTAGATGCATAAGCCATAAGCCTTTCTGCACGTACACTGCTAAGAAAAAAGGGTATATAAACTGTGCTTCGATCTGTAGACCTCAGAGCAGTTCCATCAGAGTACTCTGTTGAACTGTTTCCTGGGACTAAAATTCCTCACTTTGATTATTGAATAAACTCCTTCACTAATATTTACCTGGACTCTTTATTTCAGTTGACACGATTATAGTCTGTGCTTCGTAAATCTCTTTAAAGAAATCCTTCCCCACATTAAGATCATAAAGACATTCTCTTGTATTTTCTTCTAAAACTTTTAGAGTTTTCCTCTTCATATTTAGGGTCCCAGGGGTCAGCAACTGCACCCCATGGGTGAAATGCAACCCACAGCCTGTTTGGCTTTGCCCTTAAGATTGGTTTTTAAATTTTTAAAAGGTTAAATAAATAGAGATCATATGTGGCCTGCAAAGCCTAAAATACTTACTATCTGGCTCTGCAAATAAGTGCTGATTTTTAATCTAATACAGAGAGTGCTGATTTGTGTAGGGTGTCAGGTAGACACCTAATTTTATTTACTTTTTCCATAGGATAACTAATTATCTTTGGACCCTTTTAAAAATAACTCCACTGAAGAGTTTGGCTAGCCTTGGTTCCTAAGAAAAAGGTAACCTCTAAACCCTTAGAATTTCCTGAGTAATAAGTGTGTCTTTGTTATTCATGGAAAGGCCCTCAAACTGAAAGATAGTTTCTGCTAAGAAGACGACTCAGGATAGGAGCTGGCCAGCCAGAAAGACCAACCATGTGATTAGAAGGTTGCATATGATATCCATACACATATCAGTCTAACCTCCAGGGAGTGGAGGAGGCTGGAGATTGAGTTCAACCCCAAATCAATCATGTGTATGTAATAAAAACCAAATAAAAACTCAGTATAAGACGCTCAGGTGAAATTCCCTGGTTGGCAATACTCTTTTGAGTATTGTCATACCTCAGTGCTGGGAGGGTCATGCATCCCTGAGGATGACAGAAGATTCAGGTACAGAACCTTCCCAGAGTTTTCTATGTGTCTCTTCTTTTGGTTCATTCTAATTTGTATCCTTATGCTATAATAAAACTGTAATTATATGAATAGGACTTCCAGCGAGTTCTGTGAGTTTTTCTCACCTGAGGAAGAGGTCTATCAGACCTGACAGTGGACATGGGAACTCCTAAATTTGTAGCCAGTTGGTCAGAAGTGAGGGTGGCCGTGGTAACCCCTGAACTTGCAGCTGGTTCCTGAATTGAGGACTGTGCCCTTAACCTCAAATTTGGCTAACTCCATATAATAACCCTTTTTTCACTGACTTGTAATGTCATCTCAGTTAGATATCCGATTTCCGTATGTGTAGATCAGCTTCTGAGTTCTCTTTTACAATTTGGAATATGTATCTATCCATGTACCTAATACCACAGTATATTAATTACTATATATTTATAGTAAATCTTGTTTATTATCAAGTAGAGCAAAATCTCTATTGTATTTCTTTGTTAAAATTGCTTGAGATGTTCTTGACTATCTGTCTCCTATGAGAATTTTAGGACTGGCCTAGCCAGGATTACAAAAAACCCTGTTGAGATGTTTTTTGGTTACACGGCAATAGATAATTAATGCAAAGTTCTTGCATACCATACTAAGGAGGTTAGACCTTTGTGTTAAAGGCCATAGAGAGTTGCAGGTCAATTTATGAGCAGCATTTCCAGACTGAGATGCACCTGTTACATTAGGTTATGTTATAATAAAACCAACACCAAAATATCTCTGGCTTAAAACAACAAAGATTTACTTATCACTCATGTTGCATGTCTGGGAGTTCTGCTCTGCATCATCCTTGCCATCACTCAGGACCCAGGTGGAAGGAGTAATCTCTACCTGTAATATTACTGGTTACTAGGAGAGATGGAATCAGAACATAGAAGACTACGCTCTGGCTTCTATGGCTTCTATTTAGAAGTCACAATCTCTTTCCCTCTCATTTCATTGACCAAAGCAAATCATATGATGAGATGTAACTTCAAATGGATAGAGAAATACAATCCTTCCAAGTACCCAGAAGGAGAAAGATCTGGAATACTTATGAACACCCCTAATGACTATCACAGCACTTTACAAAGACTGAACTATTCCAAGTGTGGAAATGGAAATGGCAGCAGGAATGAGGTACAATTGTGCGTATGGCTGCAGGTTATAGAATGTTTATTAGCATTTAAATCAGAGGGTCTGGCAGGTGTTGGAAACACATCTGTAGTTACTGACAAAACCAGGGACATCATGGTTAAATTGCTGGATTAAAGGACAAGTCACTGATTTTAACACAATATTTTGTAACATCTTCTGAACCCACATATGTTGGGGTAGCCTCACACTGGTGAGCCAACCTGGATATCTGGCTCAAGGGATAAAGGGTTACTCAGCAAAGTCAAATGTGTACCTTTGCCTTCTGTCTTCTACCAGTGTTTTTACAGCTCTCTAGAGGACTTTGGGTTCCTTGTTTTTATTTTTCATTATAAAAACTCGAGTCATATAAAAAATGGAATTCTTAATTCCTGTGTCCCCACCACCTAGCATCAATATCATGCCTTCCATCCATCAAGATTATTTTTGCAATTGGGGGATTTTGAGATAAACCACTAATCTTTGGGTTTATGTAATCTGATGCTGAGTGTAGGACAAGTCTTGACGGCAAAATGCCAAAAGCACCTGAATCCACTCGATGATAATAAAGGGCCGCAAGGAGACCACCACCAGATAAGTCCTCTGCAGATACATCTTCAAGATGCCAGTTCTCCTGAAAACCCACTGCCACTTTCAGGCCTGTTGCCTGTTATGATAGGATGGGGAGGTAAACTTGGAGGGGCCTGTACCATGTAATGAGAAGAAATGATGAGAAACGTTTAAAGATTTATTCTTTTTGACATGGCCTTGAGATGTTTTCCCACCAGCTCCCACTCTGCTGATAACCAGCACAAGCTGAAAAAAAGATTAAGATTCTGTAACTCAAAATAGTCTTTCTCACTGTTCTATTTTCCTTGCACCCCAGACAGGCTGTAAGGAGAGAACTGATGGGGTCAGCAATACGATCATTAGCTACCAGTCTCACATCATAGTGAAACAGGATTCAGTTATAAATGACAGAATGCCAATCAGTTTGCCAAGCAAGAGGGAGTTTATTTAATTCCCAATCGCACAGGATCAAGATTAGGTTTAGAATTAAAATGCAACCTGGAGAAAGTAGGCTTTACTAACTCTTGGTTGTTATCCTATAGCAGTTACTTCCT